TTTCGATACAGAAGGGAAGTTGAGGGCAGTTCATCAGATTCAGAGAAAATTTGTCCTCTGAACATTATCCTAGATGATGATGTCAGATGAAAGAACAATACAAGAAAAGATAGAAATGGAAACTTTCAGTAACATGTAAGTCAGCAGATACACCTTGGAGGTGGGTATACTGGGAAAGAAACAACTGGATCCGAAGACATTCATTCCTTTCTGTATTTAATGAGAACAAAATTCCTCCGGGGTGACATAAGTCCTTGTACAAAACAGAATCTTTTCATCCAGACAAAAGCCTTAATATTGTTTAAACTAGCTGGTGTTTTCCTAGGAGCTGCTTGTTTGTGTACAACTCAACATGCATCTATGTAGAAAACAATGATAAAAGTTTGTGTGTGTTTATATCAGCTAACCTTTCAGCTTGCTTCGCTTCAAGTAGGGAAGGAAGTTCTAATTCCACTCACTGTCCTCAGTTCACTAGATTTTGAACCCAGCTTAATGCCCCTGACCTTCTTCCATTTTTAATCTTTCGATGATCTGTGAGCAAGCTTTGTGTCCTTAACGCTTACTGCAAGGGCAGGGCAGGCTCAGGTTTATCTAAGAAGGAAAGTCAGTGCTTGAAAAGGAGGAAAAGGCAGATAGGAAATTATTCAACTGTAGCATTTGGAATCTGTCTCCATTTCTAACTTTCTGACTCTTAGCAATCCTAACAAACCCGGTTTCATCACATGTATGCAAGATTTTTAGAGGAGAAAATTTGGATTGGGAACCATATAAAAACAAATTAAGGAGACACCTTTTCTAATTCAATTTTTATCCATAAGTCCATCCCATTTATTTTTGCTGTTTGTGATTAGACTGGCCTCCTTTTCATTGTAAAATAGGATTTTCTCTTTAATACAAGAAGGCCCTTATTTCCAGGTCTAGACATTAGAATAAGGCACCTTCTATTTGTGTGTGTAGAGGGAGCTATTGACCACTGACCATGTCATTTGAGTCTTGTGTGAGGGGCACTGGTGTACTGAAATTCATATATCCCAAATGGTGCCTGGGTACCAGATGACTGCAATGGCTCCTTTTTTTCTTTGGTCCTGCTTAGCATCTCCACTCTGTTCTATTTAAAACTTATGTGCCCTTGAAGGTAAATCAAACCAGAAAACACTAGGGCAAAAAAGAAAACAATTCAAAATAGTAACCAAGACTGTCAGGAAAAATCTATCTGAACTTGAATGTGCCATGAATTTCAAGCTTTGTAGCTTCCTTCAAAGACTGCTTTTAAGTGCCTATGTATAAAGAAAATCCATTACAAACTATATGGGTCCTTTGTCTATCTGTTCGGAGGAAGATTATAGCACTGAGCCCACCTGAATCACAGGGGCGAACACAGAGAAGACTCTAAGACCATTTCATAATTGTTTGCTTCAAAACAGATGAATACTCAAAATGAAAATAGACTTTCATCAGTTTAACAATTTGATTTAAAAAGGAGCACATGCGGGAGAAATTTTAGAAAATGCTTCCATTTGGTGGATTTACTTTTTCTTACTCATTTCTTAAATTATGAATCCTAATAGTGTTAAAGAAACCTCTTCGTTGCTTTGTCTTACAGCTCAACGGTCATTTGTTGCTAGAAATTGAAGTAGTTATCTAAAATAGAGACGTACTCTCTGAGAATTTCAGTCTACTATATGAAAAAGAAAAGGAAAACTCATGTATTTTAAGCACTTCACTGAAAATAAATGACTTATCTGAAGATGTGCTGTAACTTGGGTCCCATGTAGACCATTGGCTTTTCATTTCCTGTTTGCTTCTACTCAGTGGGCTCTCTATTACTCTGTTTGTTTTTTCTAGAAACCAGTAAGAACAAAATAATCCTGATTTTCTATACCATGAACACCAAACCCATAAATCACACTCTCTGAGCACCAGGCTTTACATCTTAGACTTAAGAGTCCATGACCTCCTGTCCCTAACAAGTTTCCCTACTGGGTTTCCTGTTATTTTTAGGTGAAATCTTGATAACATGGAGTTACATAACACTGAAATCATGGTGTCGTTTTCACCATTTTGAGTTTATTTCTCATATAAATGGATAAAATCACTTTATGCCATGTGTTGAAAAATGCCTAGATATCTCTATCTATAGAGTTATACTAAATGTAGCCTTAGACAGTTCTGAAGCAATTTGTTGCCCTGTAGCTTAGCTCTCTGTAATTTCAACACATGAACAAAGTGCAGTTATTCTCAAGTCCAACTTTGCCTCTGGCCACTGAATGTCTGCAACACTATAGCAAACACAGATCACCCTGAGCGAGTCACAGTTTTTATTTATTTTTCAATAGCAAAACAACCAATAAGAGAGGGATGTAATTATTATATAATTAAATAATTGGAGATAATTGCCCAATAGTAATTTGTTTCAACATATAGAAGGCTTAGCAGTATGTGGCCAGGAAATAACCCCTTTCCTGATTCTGAAGAAGTGCTTCCCATGTGGTAAACAGTTTTCAGTTTCTTCTCACTTTATAGCACATGTCTGTATAAACTTCTCACCAGCAGAATGCATGAACCCAGAAAATTGGCAAAGTTCAAATTATAGCATATTTGGCCTATTCCTACACATAAAAATGCTTATTGTGGATCGGGAGGAGGAAAAAATATGTAATCCTTCCTTAAGAAAAAATTATGTGAAAAACCATATAAAGATAACGAGACGCTGAGACATTTCTTCACCCCTTGAGTTAAATAAAGAGAATGGATTGTTATGAATATGTACTATGCGAGCTAGAGGAAAGGGGGTCTACATTTTATAATCAGCTCTGAATCTAAAACCTGCCAAGTCATCTTTGTGATTCTTACAGCATATTAAATTTGTATTCCTGGGTTCTTCCTGCCATAAGCAGTCCCATTATAATACGGTGGTACTTAGGAGAAGGCCTCATCCTGGGACAGGATCCTAGGCCACTGAGGTCCCAAATGACACATGTTTAAAATGGTCAGGTGTCAGGGAGAAATTCTGTGATGGAAGAATAACTCGAGGTGCAACGTTGTGTTTCTAAAACCACGTGAGCCTTTTTCCTTTTTCTCAAACTTTCCAGCATTCACTGTTGAGGAATTTGTACCCTTATTGATCTTTTAACCTCTTATCTACTACTTGTCTTGTTGCCTTCCTATTGCATGTATAATCTACTTTCTATTATGAGCTACCCAAATACATAGAACTGTGTTCAGAATAGATTTTTACCCAATAGCCAATGTAGCCAAATTTCAACATTTTACTGTGTTGAATTTAGACATTTTTTAGGATATGAAATTTTACTGAAAATGCTCTAGCTTTCCATAGTCTCACCCTCTGCTTTGCATCTTAGGGGAAACTCTGGCTTGAATTAAGTGCTTAACTTCACCAGAAAATTTTTATGTTTACTTCTTGCATATGTATATTTACATATGAGTATAAATGTTCATAAGCAGTATCATTTGCTTTTTTAAACTTGATAAAAATTGTAAAATTCTGTTTGCATTCCAAAAATGTTTGAGTTCCTCTCCTTTGAAGTTATGTTTCTGAGATCTTTCTGTTGTTAGACACAGCACAACTTATTTAAATGCCTGTATGCACTGAAACTGAACATTTCCATTGTTCTCTCCTTGTTGTTATAATTAAACCTGCTATAAACATTCTTGATAATACCTATCATACTTATCCTCCCCCCCATGGAGAAGTTTTTCCAAGTTATATGTTATTTGCAGAAATTTGATTCTGAGATTATGTGCATTTTTATGCATGAACATTATTTTATCATTCTCCAAGAGTGTGTAAAAAAACAGTGCATACTACTATGTCTGTATAACTTCCGTGTTAATGAAGGGACACTTCATTTATAACTTTCTCTCCTGGATAAGTGTTTCTCCATGAAATTATGCCACCCAGCACAAGCAGCTGGTGGTCTGACAAAGCTTATCCATTCTCAACTTAATACTGTACTCTTGATTTTTCTTGCTAGAGAATACTCAAATATCTTCATGTTTCAAACAGTGAGTCACTACTGCATTTTCTCAATTGTTAGCCTTCTTTCTGTTTTTTTTTTCTTATTTACAGCAGTGTTTTGTGCGTGATCTATGACCTGGAGTTCTGCTGCATAGCAAAAGTTCCCTTCCACCTCAACTCATCTTTGATGTTAAAAATCTAACCACAAATTGATGGTATTATAAGCAGGAAACTCAGTGAAGTGGTTAACTGAAGAGTGTAGAGTCCTGAAAACTGAATGGGTGCCTTTTAAAACATAAACCAAATGGCTTGTTTGCCTCTCCCATCACAGGAGAATACAATGGGAAGGCAAACTGGCCCCGGCCAGTCGCAAAAACTACTAGTATTTTGAATGTCTTACACTTCCCACACCCAGACCACTGAGGAAAAATTCTTCTGCTGACAAGTTACCTCATTTATGGTAGCTTGCTATATATAGACTACATCAAAGATCTTACAAACTATGTGTTACCTTTTCAGGACCATCACAAAAATTTATAGTTTTCCACACCATATTTCTAGATTTTTGTGGGAATGTTATACTGTCTTCTACTTGCAAAGATAAAATATAAATTTTGAGTATTCCACGTTAGAAAGGAATGCAAGAAACCATAATAAAGCCTCACCTTAACTTCTTTAATAAATTAGGCTAATATATATCTATATTGAATTATAGATTAGTATTTTAATCTTTGAGTTATAAGATAGTAGTTACATGTGGTAATTTTGCTCCCCTCAGGAAAAAAATTAAACTATATCACAATTAAGCTTATATAATTTTATCAAATGGGATAAATGCATTTTGTTTTTGTTTCACAAAAGTAATTATTACATAAATAAAATAAAATAAAATATCTAATTTTTTCAGGACTATCTTCTTTTATTTTTTTAAGTTCAATTTGCTATAGAAAATCTGATAACAATATTTAAAGCCAAAAAAGAAAGTTTTTGTAAGTATAACATTGTTTATAATAATAGAATAGACACTGAAGCTCATATTTATTATAATACAAACAAAATATACATTTAACAATTTTAACTGTTATGCTACAAGACTACATTTGTTTTATAGTAGAAAGATTCAAAACTGATTGCTAACTACTTACAATGCTAGAGTTAAATTTTCCTGTGGATTCTGACAAGTTTATTTTCTTTCCCAAAAAAGTTATGTTTCAAAATTTTCATCAATACATTATATTACAAAATAATTAAGAAGAGTTACAATACCTGTGCATTTTTCTGCTCTTAGTTTTTTTTTATTTTCAGACTCTGGGAATTTTAAATATCATGCTTTTTCAGCCTCACAAACAAAATGAAAATTGTAAAATTATGATAATTTGCTATGGGAAGAATATTTTTCTATTTATAAAAACTATGCGTCTTTCCCAAAGGCTTTGCAGTTATAACACACTGTGACAAATTTGACAAATGTGGCAACAAATGGTCACTCCAAAGAAAGGAGATTCTCAATTTCACTTTCTTTGTTTTTAGTGAAATGTGTGAGCTATGCCTTAGATGTATGTTTAAGAAAAAAATCACTATTTATTGAATGGTCTTATTTAATTTTATTTTTTCATGTGAATGAAATGACATAAGCTGTCCTGGGAACTCAGTCTCGGTTATGTTATTTCAAAAAGCAGTCACTCTTGCTGTCTTCTAGCTGAAGCCACCAATACGGTAGAAATAGCATGTAATAATATACAAAGAGTCAAGTTATAAAAAAAAAAACAACCTCTAAATGCATTACCATACCATGGTCAGCATTTTTGGGAGCAAGTCTTACCTTGAACAAAAGATGCTGGAATTGTCAATGATACCTGGAGAGTTGTTGTGGCTTCTACTAATTGCTGATTTTTCTATGACTATTTTGAATTTTGTTAAGTAATTTGATTGTTTCTTCTGAAATGTTTACTCAATCATGTCAATGTAGAGTTTTGAGCTCGTTAGGAAAGAAAAAAATGTATTTTTACATAATTGATTATTTAGATTTTTCATTTCTAAACAAACTCTTAAAATTCCCAATAATTAAATGCAAATGAATTCAGCTGGACACAATTACATTTAGCAGCACAAATGACTGGAATAAAAGTTCAGCAAAAATACATGGGAAAGATAAAGACATACATTGAAGACAAAGAAAAATATAAACAATGATTAAGTAGGTATGATAGAGTCTGTTATGAGAGATCTGGCGTCTTTGAATATTTGAAACTTAGAGCAATGTTCTACTTTCTCATCAGAGTTTCTTCAGCCTCAGTGGTTAGGAGACAAACATTGCTTGTGTCAGCATAGAGCATTCGCACTCTTCTAAGGGTTTAGATACAATTAGTGCTTTAAAATACACTTAACCTTAGTCCCCACTTTTATTATGTAACATTATTTTACTAATAGTTTTATAATATATTTTATTCATCAGTAGTAGTTTTGTATCCAAAGCAGTCAGAATTTTAAACCTAGGCTGTAAAATAGATTTCCAGAATATGGATAGAAATGAATTGCTTTTGAACTAAGTAATTAGAAAATTGTTTGGGCATTCTTATCTAGAAAAAACTAACTTTCTGTAGTCAATACAAATGTTAGAACCTTGTGTGCTTTTTCAATACCATCCATATTAGGGTATTACTTTTTGATAGACAACAATCTGCAAGTATTTTTTAAATGAAGCATGCCCACTTTAAGTTGCTTTGAGTTTGTAGGACTCCCAGAAACCTAATAGATAAGCACCCTTGTGTGGTATTTTATTACTAATCAAACAAATGCACAAGTATTTGTATGTATTTCTTCTGGAGATGCAATTCATTCTGGTTCACTTATTAAAGTATTTCTTTCACTTTTCCCTTTCCTTAGCATGAAGCATCTACAAATACTCATTATTCTACCCGGCCCTCACAGCTAAGTTTGATGTCTTTGAGATAGGCGACCAATGTTATTGAACAGATTAAATGAATGAAAGTTCCTGAGGATACTATGAATGAAGAGATTGACTCTGTAACATTGGTCTTTAATCACACAGGCTTCTCACAGACTTCTTCCAAAGTGTGTAAAATGCATGAGAAGCAAGCAAGGTCTATCGGTTCTCTAAAAAGCCGCATTCTTTGTAAGGAAGTGACTAATTGTTCATTTCACACTATAAAGAGTGTGAAAAGGTCAAACAGGAAGGCTAAGAAAGGGCTTTGTACTGGAGGGAGGAAAGGTGAGTTGTGCTGAGATTGGCATGGAAGCAATGTTCAGATGGAAAGTTCAATTTGAAACATACTAACAAAATACAAGTAGTATTTATATAATGCTGTTTGTTTTCTTTACATGTGGCAGACTTACTTGTTGTGAAACTGCTAAAACAATGTTGCTTGAACTACATTGTGGCACCTAGGAAATTCAGAAAATTTGTGTGAAGAAAAGAACGTCAAAGAGTTAACTTAACCCTTCCCGTCATCAAAATTTTGTACTTATCATTCAGCAAAATTCACCACTCCCTACCTTGATCATCTGTTTATCTCTGTATGTATTACACATTGTTTTCTCCTATTCTCTCAAATATAATCAAATAAAGATGTAAATGCAAACAATATACAGAATATGATAAATACTTAGAAAAAAGAGAACACAGAAATACATCGGTTATAAATAAAATATTGCCATCCCATAATTCTTTACAAATTTTACTTTCACTTGAGCTTTTGCCAACAGGTCGTTATATCTAGATTGTTTTAAACTGATACATTACAAGTGGGAGATAGTTATGCACCAGTGGAAAGAGTTCCGTTACATTCTATCAAGTTTGCTTGTGGTTTGCTGCCTTCTCATGCAACATAAGTTTTCCTCAGAGCCATAATTTATGGCTCTTTCTGTCTGTCTCCTAGTCCCGTCTGGGATATTGTGAACACCATGTCTCTCTTAATATATTAAAATATTTCCCCATGTTTTTAAAACATGAATTGTGCATATTTTATTCTAGAACATACCGTTAAGCATTAGGTTCTGTCTGTGAACCTGTTTCTCTTGACCAGTCACAGGGAACCTTGATAGGACCATTAACAACCTCACATAAAAGTACTGCTGCAGCACCCTAGATGTAGCTTGTCCTGAAAGAAGCAACAGTTACCTTTCTAAATCCTCAGACCTGGTCCAAGTCTGGGATGGTGGATCCTTGAGAACATTCCTCTTACTAACATACTGTTTTAATTTGTTCCTCTCCTACAATTCCTGTAACATCACCAGTTCTAGAATGGAATGACTTAACTGATTATAAGAACATAGGCAACTGCATGATAAACTCCATGTATAGCAGATGTGCTTGGGGAATAAAGCATCTTCCTGATGATGTTCGTTCAGCTTACTTCTATATATGATGTTAAATTCAAAATGTAAGCCTCCCATTCTGAGGACAATTCTTGACTTTGCTGTTCTCAGAAAGCTGGTCCAGATGAACACATATCTACCACAGACAGTCTTATCCAGTCTATCATTCTGTGCCTTAATGACACTCCTTAGAAGGCATGTATTAATTGGTATGAGGGATGTACAAGATAGAAGACAGTATTTTTCAGGCAGGTAAATACTTTTCTCTTTAAATTAAATAGAAAACTATGTAGCTACAGCTCTATGGAGCTCATCCGGGTCTCTGTGATGCCGCCGATTACGTTTCTTCTTTATTTCCTGCACGTGTTTCCACTTTGGGCTGCCCTTGTTGCGCTGTCTCCGCTTCTCCCTGTACCACATCTGTTCACAGTACTGGTCCAGGCTGAAGTTTGGGCTGCTAAGGATTTGGATGTAGTCTTTGTATCTCAACCGTGACTCAGCCAATAGATCCTTGACCTGCCCCTCTTGGTGCTCTGCCCTTTGGGTATTTTCCATCTGTTCATTCTCAATGACATTCAAAGTCAGCTTCACCACGGTGTGGATGAAAGTGTGCTCCTGTGCTTTGCAGTAATACATCCCAGAGTCCTTTTTCTGCAGACTTCGAATCAGTAGCCCATAGTCTGTTTTGATGATCCTTTCATCGGGTTTCAACTGCAGGTTGAAAAAAAATGTAGGTAATAAATTAGAAACAGAGAGCCATAAGAAAATGAAAACAGACCACATAGTTTTACTTAGATGAACCTAAAAGATATATTCTTCAACTTTCTGTCATCAGACATGACATTGTCAGCCATAGATGAAGGTGGTTAAAAAATAAAAATAAAAAGAATCAGCAATCAGCTAAAACAGTGGCACCCAGGCCATACCCTGATTTCTCTGCATTTGTTTTTCTCTCCAGTGCAGAAATAAGAATGAAATGCTGTGGGGAACCATGAAATAAAAGCGATGTTATGAAGCAACATGTGCCGATATTACAGATGGAAATCAATGGCCTAGGATCACAAACAATTTCAAGGGAGATTTTATGAATAGTCACTAATCAATCAAAGAACTCAGAGTGTGTACTACCTGTGATAGATAGGAGAACAATGGTGTTGGCTCTACATTCTTCATGTCACCAGGAAAACAAATGGCATGCACAGTTTATGAGAATGAGAAACTGAATTGGAAAACCATGGTGAAGACTTTGGACATCAGAGCTGTAACTAAACAGGCCTGTACTGTGAAAGCTAGCGTTGTCTAAAACTAATTTCCCTGTTGTCATTTACTTGTCCAAGTGATACTGGGCTGCCACATTGGTGGGAATTATTGCCATAGCTTCAAATACTCTATCTAACATCAGTAATGAGATTTAAAGTGTGAGGAGGCACAGTGGCGAGGATGAACCTCCCCTGAAATGTAATGCTCAACCCTTTGACGAAGTGAACACTGAGAAGGAATGCAAATATTCAGCTAGCCCTGCTCACAAATTGTGTGAGTAATGAGCTATCTTCAACATAGCTGGGCATGTTTATCGACACAAGGGCCTTGTTGAAATGTGCAGTATTGTTGAGTGGTTAGGCATGACGTCGAACAACAACAACAACAACAAAGAAAACCTGGAAGAATTCCCAGTTTGCACATCTGTCCCAGAACTGTAGACTGCAAGCCGATGGAAAGGAGAGAGGCACAAAGACAGCTAAATTAAATTTATTCACAGTGGGTAGACGATACTCCACATTCTTATGTGAAAAGTATGTAGGAAAAAATCTCTCTTATTCTGGAAATATGAGAAAAGGGAAAGAAACATCTTTGGCTACCAGCCCAGTTCACTAACAAGTACATGGCAAGCCACCCTTGGTGCCAGAAAAGTGCAGCTGGCAGGGAACCAGTGGAGGCCAAAGGCAGGTCACAGCTCAGATCCTTGGTTAATGAGGCTGTATAGTCTCCAGGCCTGCCTTGCACTGCACCGAGTTCATACCATTAGGTCTTTGCTTGGTTGCTTGTTTGTGTGCTTTCCTTAGACTGTTTGGTGAGCTGGATATGTTTTCCTTTCCCACTGCATACAATCAAATAGCCATGACATCTTAAAATGCTATCACAGTGCAAACTAACCTCAAATTAACTTAAATTCTCAAACCATAGAAGCTTCCTGCCTAGAATAAATGTGGATATGTATTTGTATATTTCTGTAGGGATACTGCTTAACAAGAATAGCAGTTTCATATGTAACACAGAATACGGAAGCCTTCATTTTAAATAATTTTACTTTAAATGTTTAAAAAGTATAAATCCATCGTATGTCTGAAAACACTGGATCTGTGAACTTGGATGCTGGCTTCTTGTCTGGTCACTTACTTGTATGATTCATTTATCTTCCCCAGTGTTTCTCACCTATTAGTTCCTGAATAGCACATGGTGAATTTGGATGTTAAAATGTGATGTATCAGCATCACTGTAGCTGCTGTGTTGTACAAAGGGTTTCATCTTTGCAGTTTCTGGTTTCCTTCACCAAAAATGCCCTGAAGCCCTCAGCATGACACATGGCTAGCTGTAGTCTGGGGCATCTCTCCATGTTAAAGACCTCTCTGTGGTCTCTATCTGCGTGTGGCTCAGGCTTCAGTCATTTTGGCCCTCAGACACTGTCACAGTTCCATTTGGGTGCTTTCTCTTGTTTTCTTTAGTCTTCCAACGGGAAGAAAATATGATTGTAGCTTCATCACACTGGGCAACACCCTATAGCTATTTTGTCCTTCTCTTTTTGTATCCTATTTATGAAGCTTTGTCCGGAGACAGAGTTTCCTTGACTCCACGTCATGTTAGCTCAATCCCTATGGGACTAGACATTCCATAAACACGGAGCATTTCATTCCTAGGGCATGGTCCTTCACTTTATCACTACTTTATCTTAAAATGTGCTTGGTTTATTTATTTATTTATTTGCTACATTGATTTACCTAAGATCTACCAGGTTCTTTAATGAATTTTTGTTTCTTTTCCAACATTTCAAAGTATAGTTTTAGCACAGTGGAATCTGTAATACACAGATTTTGATTTCCACATTGAGCAGATTCCTGCAATTTATAGATTAAAAATCTGTGACCCAGGAGTTAATTAGATGGCCAACAGTCACTTACTGATCGTTATTTCTCTATAATGTTTTCATCTTGTGTGGGGATAAGACATCCTCAGTTCCAAATCACATGGCACGCAGTCAGCCGAGAAAACCGGACTCCTCTCAAAGACATCATTTCTGATCACTGATCCTAATTCATGGAACTCTCTCCACTCTAGAAGTGCTAAGCAAAACTTCCCTAAATTTAAGATCCCAAACCATTCTTCAGTTAGAGTCTGCTATCCATTTGCCTAATGCGAGCAAGGATTGTATGCTTGGCATTGTAAATGGAACTCTTCAATGAAAGACAATTCCTTTCAAAAGGGAAGGACAAAAAATGATGAAGGACATTCAGAAAGTAAACAGCAAGTGAAGATGAGAGGTACCTTATTATTTATTAAGAGAATCTGGAGGGCCTAACGCATTTCTTGTGTCTTAGAAGAAACTACAGCTTCAAGAATATACCTTTCTCCAGCAAACATAAGATATTACCAGAGGGAAATCAGTGTTAAATAAGGAAGAACACTCTCATGATGAAAAATATGAAAGTCTATAAACGTGTTTGTATTTAAGAGAAATATTGAATACCCTTCTAGCTTAATATGTGAAGAAGCCAAAATAACATAAGCACAAAATTGTATGCATTTTTTAGGTTTTTCCAAATATGCTACATGATGAAATATTTATTAATATAACAGAAAACAAGTAATCATTTTGAGGCAAAAAGCAAAAGAAGGTATGACTAAAATAATTGGCTCATTCTTTTAAGAAACAAAATTTATGTATAACTGCTAGAATAACTTTTTAACTTTCAATCAATGTAAATATAAAAATATAAAACAATCTGGAAATACATATTGGTGTCTCATTGTGGAAGAAGTTTATTTTATTCTTTTGTTTTGTTTTGTTTTTTGAGACAGGGTTTCTCTGTATTGTTCTATGTTGTTTTGGATACTGTTCTGGAACTCACAGTGATCTGCCTGCTCTGCCTCCTGAGTGTAGGGATTAAAGGCGTGTGCCACCAAGGCCTGGCAGTGGGAGAAGTTTCTAAGCAGAGTAGTTAGGATAATTAGTAATAAGTAGATTTGCCTATATCAAATATCAAGCTTTTGTAGAAATATTAAAAACTATTAGAAACAAAAGATATATAATTAAGCTATTTAAAGTATTACTATGAAATTATTGACTTCTGTAATGTATAAATGGCCCAAGGGAATATTTTTAAGTGAATCTGCTAACAACCCAAACAATGGACACCTAACATACTTTACAAAAAGTAACTAATGGAAACACACAGGTAAGAAGTATGACAATAGTTGCTCCTATGCGCTATTATTGAAGGAAGTATTTCTTAAGAGAACTGTGTGTGTGTGTGTGTGTGTGTGTGTGTGTGTGTGTGTGCGCGCGCGCGTGCAATTTCCAAATGGCTAAAGGTTTCTTAAATTTTATATACCGTAAAATCTCTGGTTCTGTGAGGTACATATGCCTCTATGGTGACATTAAACGACAATCAAACAGTATAAAGGCCAATGTCTCCAACTTCTTTTGTTTTGAGGAATTTGTCCTAACTAAATAGAAAAAACAAATATTCAGATGTAAAAGGAACCTTTTTTTTTATTACCAGAAAATATGGGCAATTTAGAGAGCATCTGTTATTTACTGTGGAATCTTTGTGGATGAAGGAGAGACAAAGGCATGCTTACTGTTCACGAGAAGAAGCTCGAAAATACTATCAGGGCAATGATGAGTACTGGAACCGAATAAACCCAAAATATCATTCATGGGTGTCTACACTAAGTGGTCTCATGGCTCCTTGTGTGTTATTACAAGCTTAAATCCATTTATTTGCTCTCATAACAGAAAGAACGAAAGGAAAACAAAGACCTACAGATGGAAAATGCCGATACTGGAAGACGCTTTAAAAGCGTTCAGCTCCACCAAGAGAAAACAGTATGGCAAATGGCATGAAGGACAGCGTCTTTTCTTCATTAAAGTTATCCGCAAAGTTCAACAGAAGCATAAATGCCATCAGTTTCAAGACCAGCATTATAAGAAAGTCAGCAGATAAGTAACTCATGACCTCCCGAAAGCACCCAACTGAGACGTTGCTCAGTGAGGAATCGGCTCCTCCTGGCACAGAATAACCTGGTGACAGCATCAGTAGCCCAGGAGACCATGGTCTATCCCCAGGGCTTTTTATGAGCAGAGGAAAGATTCCAACTGGTGACCTTACGAGTGAGGAACACAAGGCATCCCGCAGGGCAACATGCTTCAAGTGCAGCCGGGATGTGGCTCTGTTCCTATACTCAGGAAACAGCACTGCATGGTCCTGGACAATGGGAAACTACCCATTTGCAAAGACAGATGAAAATACCAGTTGAAACATTGCAGGGAGCATGCTTTTCAGCAAAATTCAATAAATACATTGTTTCTGCTCCATTGAAATTCATGGAGCATGGGACCATCATGATATGTGATATAGTACTGTAAGGTATATTAAAACAACGCATAGAAATCTCAGAAAAATGAAGAATGTAGGTGTATCTTAGGCAAATACGGGTACTTATAGCTGGAAGAACACCTCAACCAGTACTGCAGTTTTCATTCTAAAGGTCAGATTTAATTTGCTATGGGGGACAAATAACTCTCTAAGTAATTATATTTAATAGAAAGGGAAGTCACACCCCAGTAGCTATAAAAATCTAAAGATTACTTCAACTCATGTAACATTGAAATATAAAAGAATAACCAAATTAAATTTACATCTGAAGATGCAGAAAACATTCAGTATTTCTTGGATAACGGACAAGGGCTTGTATTTTGAAGTAGAATAACCATTGCTACTTCAGATATAGTACTAGAAAAATAGATAGATTAGAAAAATAGATGATAGTCTTAAAGATTGTGTGTGTATTTTCCCTGACTGAGTTAGAATTTATGGCTAGTGACTTAAAGTTTTATTGATATGTAACATCATAGAGAATAGAGTCAATAGGCATATGCAAATTTCTAGTTTCATGTATTTATGTATTAAGCTTCAGTCAATAGCTGGGTGTTGGTGGCACACACCTTTAATCCAAGCACTGAGGAGGCAGCGGCGGGCGGGTCTCTGTGTGTTTGAGGCCAGCCTGGTCTACAGAGCGAGTTCCAGCCCGGCCTCCAAAACAATAGAGAGAAACCCTGTCTCGAAAAACAAAAACAAAAAAACAAAACAAAACAAAACAAAAAAAGCTTCAGTCAATAGAGAGATAAGTGATGCTTATGGCTCTATTTTTTGGTGAATTTTCTTAACACATACTTGTGATTGCAATATGTCATGAATACTTTATGACACAGTAAGTCGTATCTACTAGGGGCACATTCGGTCTTCCAGTCATCACAGTATCTTTTGTGCAATATAAAAATTGTAAATGTCAATAAGGTATCAATAGATTATTTAATATGTTTATTAAATATTACATGTGAGCCTGAGGTGGGTTATGCCACAGAGGTCAGAGAGGGCATGGGATCCCCTAGAACTTGGGTTGCACCAGTTGTAAGCCGCCCAAAGTGGGTGCTGAGAACTGAATCTGGGCCCTTTGGAAGACTTGATGATTCTCTTAATCATTCAATTATCTCTCAAGCCCTGCCATTTGATTCTTTTTCTTCTTTAGTAGAAAACCTAATAACAATCAATTCAACAATGTAGCTTTTGCTTCATAATATTGACAATACTAATCTAAGATTTATAATATCGTCTAAAATAATCTCATTAAATTATGTACCATACATGATTTATCTATGTCATAAAATGTTCATAACATATTTTAATTCCAATTCTCTCCATTGACTTAAGATTTAATACTTAAATACATAAATCTGAAAATCTGTATATGCCCAAATGACCAATTTTATCCAATTAACTCTTATGATACAATATTACAGGAATAGATATTTCTGGAAATGTTTCATTTTGTGACCTAGATTAAACTCAGTAGTAGCTAAAATTTAGAAATTTTACCATGGTTATTAAAATTTTGTGTTCTTATTAGAAAATGTCTTGAAATTCTTTAAGATACATAAGTTTGAAAGAAAAAAAACATGTGAATATATTTTAAAAATGTGTATCAATGCTATATTTTCAGCAAATAACCCTGTTCTTATCTCCAACCAATTGTAACCTCTGTTGTTAGTGGGTATAAACTCCTACCTTTCTTTGGTAGAACAGTGAGGAGAGTGCTCTACGACACTCAGGATGGGGCATATCTAATAAGGAATAGTTTTACTTCAGTTTGACAACAGCATCCTTGCTGATGATTGCTTACCTCCTCCCGATGCTCATCACCTGACCGCTGGACATACCACTTAACAGAGGCTTGTTGGGATTTAGGTATGCACTCCAGAAAAGTTGAATTAAATTCAATTCCGAAAATCACCTTTTCATCAGCTGTTTCATGACTAATGTCTAGAAAGCAAACATAGCATTAGAGATTAACCTTGACCTGATTTTAAATGAAATGGGAAAATAGGTTGATTCAGAACAGATGTCACCAGGGAAGAGTCAAACACATTACAAAAGAGAAAGGAAATTCAGGCTAAAATACGGTTACCTGAGAACCAAATACTGTCCAACAGAGTGATCTTTAAACTACATCTGTATCACCATTTTAGTTTTTCATGGTCACACCACAATTTTTTTAAAGAAATAACAATTTATTGTATGTAACTCTTAACATTGCATCTCTTCATTAAATAACTTTTATGTCTTTCAGTGTTTTAATGTTACATCCCATTCTGTTGTTAGTACTGGAGTAGTAATTTATTGATTGATTTACATATTTTTTACATTTTACTTTTATGTGTATTGGTGTTTTGCCTTCCCGTACATATAAACCACATGCATCCAATTCCTACAGCAGCCAGAAGAAGGTGGCAGATCACCCAGGGCTTGAATTGCAGATGCTTGTTAACTGCTGGTACATTCTGGGAGTTTTTATAGAAGAGCAGCCCACGAATTTTACTATTAAGTAATCCCTTCAGCCCCAGAAGTCTAGTTTGAAAAGTCACAGATGAACAGACAGACAGACCCGCAGATGCAAATGTACATGCACAAAGAGAGAGACAGAGAACGAGAGGTTCTATTTAAATTGGTACATTGAGTTGTCAGGACAATGTTTAGAACTTTAGATATCTGCAATCAGCACAATAAGTAGAAAAGTCCAGGCTTGATGAAACTTGACGCGAACAAGATTGACGGCCTGGTTAAGACTGGAGAGCTTGTTTACACAGTCAACCATTTTGATTTGGAGATACTTTTCACCTAACATGCATGTATTTAGTAAAAGTCAGTCAATGAGATGTTAAGGAGTAGTATGGCAGATTTTTATTACTTCAGCTACTGTATCTAAAGTACATTCTAGCCAGTGTACTAAAAGGCTGTGTCCTATGTGGCATATAAAATCTGTAGCTCAAATTCATCAAGTCAAAGAACGATGACGGTACAGCCTGGCTCAAACATGCACTTTTCAATAATATATATATATATATATTCCCTTCTACAGGTAAGCTAACTCAGTATTTTAGGCACCAACAAAGGACTAAAGGTTATGGAACCTTGGGGAATCCCAAAGCAAAGCACACAAAATGACTAACAGCTAAATATCAAAGAGAAAGACAGAAAATTTATCAGATAGGATGAGTGGGAATGTGTCTCTGAGGAATCGCTGTATCAGTATAAGAGGATGAGAAAGTGTAAGCATTTTAGCTGATCAGATGTAATGTAAAGGGATGGATTATGATACTTAGGAGCTAAAGAATGCTGAGTGTTACAGGTTGGATAGAAAGGTATTCTGGCATTCGGGAGCCAAGGAATACCACAGGTCACAGTAAGCATGGCAGCTTACAGCCCTGCTTCAACGAAAGACTTCCCCAGTGTATCAGCCAGTTTCCTGGCCAAGTTGTTACAGTTCAGCTCCAGTTCGCCTCCAGTGTGACAACTTCGGTTTGCCAGGGGAAGGTTTACCCCAGTGAAAAGTGTTATAGTCCTACTCTGCTCCGCAGAAGGTCTCACCCAAATCTCATTCAAGAGATTTATTGGGAGACAAGAATCCAGGAGAGTGGCTGCCCTCTGCCAGGGTGGCAGAGGTCAGACAGGCAGCCAGAACAGCCACAAGGTGAACAGACACAGGATTTACATAGGGATTCTTAGGAGGGGATGAGTTTTCCAGGGTGGGGATTCGTCAGATTTCAATCCCTGAGTTTAGGATGGCTAGATCTCCAGTTCAGGGATTGGTTAGTTCTTTGCAAAGGGTTGGGGTCAGATTTGGCTCTTGTTTCAGGGCCAAAGTATGTTTATTTCTCTGGCCCTTCTTAGCTTTTTGGCTCTAGTTTTAGGGCCAGGGTGTATTTCTTTCACTTTCTCTGATTCCAGGGACAAAATGTGTTTCTTTGGCACTGCTTATAGGGTCAGGCTTCTGGTTGCAGGGCCAAAGTGGGTTTCTTTGGCTCTGCTCAGAATGTGTTTCTTTGGCTGGCCCCTACAGAAAGTATGGCTTTGTGCATTCCTGAAGAGACTATGACCGTCAAGTTTCAGAAACATAAATAGACCCAAGGCAGGACATGATTGGTCCCCCTTAACAAGTGAAAGCCAGTGAGTGAACAGTGAAGCAGTAGGTGAGGGAGGTATGCAAGTTGACTGGCAAGAAGGAGCCTAACAGGGTCTTAGAGGCCAGGGAGGGAGCAGTGAAATTTCACTAATTATCTAAGAAGCTGGTAAAATGATTCTAGTATAACAAACCGACTGGAGTTTTTTTTTAATTTAAATTTAAATTAGAAACAAGGTTGCTTCACATGTCAGGTCCAGGTCCCTCTTCCTTTCCCTCCCCTCCTCCTGCACCCTCCCACCAACCCCTCCATTATCCCCTCATTTCCCCAGAGAGGGTGAGGCCCTCCATGGGGGTGTTCATAGTCGGTCATTTCATCCAGGGCAGGGCCCAGACGCTCCCCCAAGAGTTCAGGGTGAGAGTGCATCTCTCATTGTTGGATGGGAGTCCAAAGTCCATTTTTATACCAGGGATAAGTACTGATCTCCTACCAAAGGCTCAATAGATTACCTAGGCCTCCTCACTGACACCCACATTCAGGGGTCTTGATCAGTCCCATGCTGGATTCCCAGCCATCAGTCTGGGATTCAAGAGCTAATCCTTGTCAGGTCAGCTGTTTCTAGGGTTTAAACCCGCCCAGTCTTAACCCCTTTGCTTATCAGTCCTCCCTCTCTGTTACTGGATTTCTTGAGTTCAGCTCAGTGTTTAGCTGTGGGAGTCTGCCTCTTCTTCCATCAACCATTGAATGAAGGTTCTGTTTCCCGGATGATTGCTCGTTCTTTGCCAAGGTTGACTTTCTGCCTATAATTTGTCAAATTCATCATTAGTAAAATGATATTACAATTTCTGTGAGGTCTATTTTTTATTTTTTGAAGTATTTATCTTTGTTTTCTGAGTTAGCAGTATCACGTGTGCTGTATTTTCATTATAATTTTTAATATTTTTTAAAGATTTTTTATTTTTAAATTTAAATTTAAATTAGAAACAAGGTAACTTCACATGTCAATTCCAGTTGCCTCTCCGTGTCCATATCCTCCTCCGGTGCCTTCCCCCCACTCCCCCAATATCCCCTCATTTCCCTAGGGAGGGTGAGGCCATCCATGGGGTGTTCACAGTCTGTCATTTCATCCAGGGCAGGGCCCAGACCCTCCCCCAAGAGTTCAGGGTGAGAGTGCATCTCACATTGTTGGATGGGAGTCCAAAGTCCATGTGTATACTTGGGATGAATACTGATCTACTGCCCAAGGCTCAATAGATTACCTAGGCCTCCTCACTGACACCCCCAGTCAGGGGGTCTTCCTCAGTCCCATACTGGATTATCAGGCACCAGCCTGGGATAAATGAGCTAACCCTTGTCAGGTTAGCTGTTTCTGAGGGTTAAACCAGCCCAGTCTTAATGCCTTTGGTCATCAGTCCTCCCTCTCTGTCACTGGATTTCTTGAGTTCAGCTCAGTGCTTAGCCATGGGAGTGTGCCTCTTCTTCCATCAGCCACTGAATGAAGGTTCTGTTTCCCAGACTTTCTGGCCATGGGATTGTAGGCTGGCCCTCCCCAGATCTATGTCTAAAATCCATATATGAGAGAGTACATGCCATGTTTCTCTTTTTGTGACTGGGTTACCTCACTCAGGATGGTTTCTTCTAGTGCCATCCATTTGCCTGCAAGTTTCAGGATTCCATTGGGTTTTTTTCTTTCTGAATAGTACTCCATTGTGTAAATGTACCCACATTTTCTCTATCCACTCTTCATTTGAGGGGCATCTAGGATGCTTCCAAGTTCTGGCTATTACAAATAATGCAGCTATGAACATAGGCGAACAGACATTCTTGTTTAATGAATAGGCATCTTTGGATATATGCCTAAGAGTGGAGTTGCTGGGTCTTGTGGTAGGTTTACTCCCATTTTTCTGAGGAATCCCCATACTGATTTCCAAAGTGGCTGTACAAGTTGGCACTCCCAAGAGCAGTGGAGGCCTACTGGAGTTTTTAACAAGGACTATTCCGGATATTGAATTGATTATAGACTGACAAGGAGAAAGTGTTGCAGCAGAGAAATTGGAAAAGAAGCTCCTGAAGAGGAACCACAACTTTGCTGCCACTGATGGCCATAAGAATAGGTGGAGTTCAGCCTTACTGTCAGAAGGATTATGAAGAGGTAAGTTATAGACTGTGAAAGAAAGAGAGGTACCAATAAGATTCCTAGCTGCTTTTCACCTCAGTTGTGTGAAAGGTGGCACCATTTGCTATTATGAAATTATCTGAAAAACATGAAAACAAAAATTCTTTCTCAGTCATTCACTGTAGATGATCAATGTGCATTCAAGTGCAGTTTCTGTGGAGGAATGCAGACACTCATACCTAACAAATGGAAAGTTAACTGTGAATTTGAGAGTCAAGTAGAATCTATGGCTACATTAAGGATAACAAACCAACAAATATAGAATAAGAAAATGGTTTGACGTCCTGCCACACTGTAAGTGTAGGATGGAAAGGAAATTTAAGAAAATAGAGAAGGCTTAATCTGCAAGGTAAGATGTTGACCAGAAAGACACAATCTCACAGCAGTGTAAGTGTGCAGAATACCATCTCTCTGAGCACAAGCAGGTTTGATTTGTTGTATCTGGTGATTTTTTGATACAAGTCAACAGCCAATTATTGCCTCAAGTTAACAAGGATGTTAGGTAAATCCACAAAACTTCCTAATTGGGAAGCATGAGCAAAGAAGAAAGAATCAGAGATTATATGAAAATCAAAACTGAAAATTGTCTATTGGATTCAAAATGGAAGAAGTTGCTGTGACCTCAACAGGAATGGAATGGGCAAGATTATGATTTAGAGAGATCTTGTGCAATGGTGTATAGCAAGAATGGGGCATGGTGAAGAGGAGACAATTGCTGTGAGTGCCTGAGTAAATAACTATACTTGGTTCATTTGCTTTGTGACACTTGGCATCATCTGATATAGCATTATTTTTCCTGTTTTATGCTTGTCCTTCTCCCTAAAAGACATGTTAATATAAAGTCCAGGGGTACATAGATAGTGTTCTGTTTATTAACATATCCTCTAGTGTCAAAATGGCCCTTGGTATATTGGTTGATTTATATGTATAAAGGATTGAATTCATAGAATGCAATGATGTTCACCAAACTAAACAATGGACATAATACTGAATCATTTTCATATTAGAAAAGGCACATACTCTATTCTACACCAGAATTTTCTTTGCAGAAAGAAGAGCTCAAGAGTTAAAAGCACTCCCATGCTTTCCAATGAAGAAATGACTGTTAGCCCACCAGTTATACACTATTAAGAGTTATGTCTTTTTGGTCAGTAACAACGGGATAAAAGAATTTATGTGTGTAAAATTTCAGCACTCAGGAAGCAGAGAAGGATGATCTCTCTGAGTTAAAGGTCAGCCTGGTTTACATAGCTAATCAAGTTCCAGAGCAGCATGCCAGTCTATATAATGAGATCCTATCTCAAAAAGAGGTGTGTGTATGTTGGATTGGGGGGAGGGAAAAATTGGAAGACAATGAAATCTCAGAGTTGTCTATAGTTTTTAGTTTCATTCTATCCCCATTTTCATACTCACTCAGCAAACCCCCTGTCTACCATCTTACCTCTCCCTATTCAGATTTTCAAGATCTTCTGCTCTGTAAATATTTTCTTCTGAACTAACTAGCCTGTAGCAACCTCTCCTTTTACTAAAATCTGTATTACTAATTGTTGCTATGGCATCCCGTCCAGAGGGCATAAGCACTCTAAGGAATTTCTTTGCCTTACAGTATACACAGATCAATTAAGTACATTAGTAACTCATGCAATGCGCATTTACTACTTGAATGCATACAAAAATGAGTGAATGTAAATAAAGTGCAGACGACCTAAAACTTTTCTCTAGTAAGCACCATTTTTTTTTTATCAGACCTCCCTGGGAGGTCTTTAGTTTTCTCAGGATTCTCAAATGTTTGGGGTAAACCCTTGTTTGCCTCTAACAGAATCCTCAAACTTTACAAGGATGTATAAGGCACTAGAGAAGAAACATGCTATGGCGCAGGAAAGTAAAAGACATATGAAACAAATCATGATTTAACAAAGGATTATTCACTTAGGCAAGTAGACAGGGTATTGGTTCATAAAACTCCTGTTGCTTTTCCAGAACATAAGCATTATACAAAATGAGATAGTTGTATATATGGTTGTTTAGATTCATATAGTAATTTAAAATAGATACGGGAAGACTAGGCTTATCATTTTAAGTGCTAAGAAATGGGCATGAAGCCTATACTTACTGTCTTCTATGTCCCAGCACTGAGTGATTGGGTCCCCATACTTTACATCCTGGCGTCTAGCTCGTCTATGGAAAGAAGATTAGGCTAATTAGATCTTCACATATAATTGGAATAAAGAAAGGTTGTGCCTCATGCTATCACTGACAGATACAAACTTACTACACACCCAAAAAGCAGATCAGAGTTTCCATCAATCGAACATTAATTTGAATTCTCGTGGTAAAAAATTCCCAACGACAAATCCTGCTAGGCATTATGATCAGAATTTCATTTTATTTCTTTTTTCTCCTCTAACTTAACAAATTATTCATATGAACAGGTTGAACATGACTAAGAGCCAGGTTTATAGAAGAAACACAGGAATAACTCTTTTTCCCCTCCTTCCTGTCAAAATCATAATATCCAAAAGTGTTTCAGTGATTAGGAAAGTACAAATAAAGAAACTTCCTAATGTCTGGGTTCATTCTATTACACATTTTATTCAATAAATTCTGCTCAATCAGAAACTACAAGTTCAATACTGAATACATGCATACATGTTATTATTATCAATAAACATGTAGCTATCTTTGTAATAGCAAAAATAATACAAGAGATTTTGCATTATGTTACATATTTTTTCTCAAGAGAAATCAATATCTATTTAAAAAGAAATGCCAATTTTCTACTCAATCTAAATACGTCTTATGCGTTAATATAGTTTCATTGTCATTGTCTACTTTTAATTTAAACACAGATTATTTTCATACACATACAAAAGCCTTAATACTGCACATATTAACATGCTATTACATAAATTTTGATACACACATATATAATTGAGAGATGTTGCAATTGGGTTAAATGTATCTATCTCTTTAAATACATTTTGCAATAAAGATATTCAAAATACCTCCTGGTTTGTTTGAACTATACAGTTCATTGTTATTACTTTTAGTCTACCCTATGTCACAAAACACCAGGATTTCTTATTTCTATCTAACAATATTGCTAAATCCTCTAGATTCCTCTTTCCCAGCCTCTCTCTCCAGTCCATGTTGTCACTTGAGAGATCAGAGAAACAGCAGTAAACTTTCTCAGATGCTTGGGGTCCTCCCTAGGGGCAAAGCTGACCAGATGACAACCTTGGAAAAGAGTCATTCATTGTACAAAACTGTAGCCTCTGATGGACATTATGTTAGGTAAGGGATCACATCACAGTGGCATGTCTGTAAGATCAGAGATACAGTCTTGGGAAATACAGGAAGAAAAAAATTATGATACTATAAGGAACATAAGGTCATGAATGTTTTTCAATCTTGGCTTCTTCAGCAACAGGATCAATTAATCAAAGTGAACATTTATTGCCAAGAAATGAGCACTCTACTTTTTCAGCTTCTAGAAAAGAATTCCCCAAGGACTCAATGAGATGAGTCTATTTTGGACAGAAAAGTTTAACAAAATGTTGGCAGTTTTTGACTCCAAATAATCATATTTACCTACTTATTCTTAATTTATGGACTTTAAAAAACACAAAATGTGTCTCAGTTTTAACCAAAATATGCTGATTACAATTAGTATCTATAATCTTTGAGTCCTGATGTTTAGAATTTGACAAATCAGTGAAATATTTAAAATTAAATAAATGTGGTAGTGAAACTATTACATGTTCTTACTTAGAACACCAAAAGACACCAAAAGTGAGAAAAATGACTAAAAATGAAAATAATTTAAAGGCTAGCATAATTTGTTGGCAATTTCACCATGGAGAACATATACTTTGAATAACACCTTAGAAGTAGTTACTAATATGTACATTAAAAAAATTGATGACAAATAGTCATCAAACTTTTACTTGTGTATGTAGAACAACACAATGGATATTTTCAAGTGTTTATAAAATAAAAAGCTACCAATATGAAGGAGAAAGCTTGATGGTGAAGATGATCTGAGTGACAGAAATTGACAAATTATAGTTATTACAGAAAAATAAAATGGAACCAAGTCTCTGTTTGCACTGTGGGCTGTGTCTGGACTTCTACAAACATTATTACTTATAAATGTCTTGCAAAACACTAGATGTGAATATGTGTATATTTAGAAATCTGAGAGAAGGAATGTAGGAAAAAATAGTTAATAAGAACAATTTTTCAAGGTATACAGGATGTCACTATATAGCTCAGGCTATTCTGGAACACATGGAATTCTCCTGCCTCAGTCTCTTGAGTTGTGAGATTACATGCATGAACCACCATGGTTGACTGTTAAAAATATGGTATATAATTTATCAGAATTTTTTAAGGTTCTGCATTTCACAATTTCAGAACATCTGTTCTGTCTTCAATACTTTAAATTAAATAAAAATGATTGAGTATTTTAATTATAACATACGTTCCATGGACCAAATTTTCTATTTGTCTGTAATTTAAACTATGAGACAAGGCTTCCATGTGAGAAACTTCATGTGGGAGGGAGGAGCGCCCTGACCTTTTGGAAGTGGGAGCATATCTTGAGCAAGCATTTCCATCCCAAGCACAGTAGGGGTCTCTGGCAAGACAGCAATCTGCACATGCTTTCCCATAAGTGTCACATCTGTGCAAGGAGAGCTGAACCAATCCATCCCAGGAACCAACGTATAACTGTTGCTACAAATCAAGCAGAAGAAATGAATCAGCCCCATTGCCCACATTAGTCTTGAGAACCACCGTTTTGTAACCACTCCTTCTGTGAGTGTCCTGCTCCCTGTAAACACTAATGGATAATTGTGAGGAAGGATAAAGCAAGTCAACTTCTTCTACCCCTAGCCAGACTCTGTTTTAAAGTTGTCGATAATGAAATGGGCAACATTTTAAAAAGCCAAAGTAGGCTTGGTGATAATTTAGGAAGGTCAAAAACCAGCTGCTAGTCTGTGGAATTAAGATGTCAAATTCTTTCTCAATAATAGAAGTTATACTTCGATAGGTTCCAGCAAGCATAGATGCATGGATATTACAGGCAACATTGACGGCATGCCTATGTCATGCCTCTCAGCATGATGGATGACTAAAAGAGATCCCTGGCACTATTTTAAGATCCCTAGAAGAGTATGGGTCACAATTGGGAGAGTGAAAGTTTGGTATCTCTATGCAGACATCACCAGGTAGACTTGACCCAAGCACACATATGTTTTGAGTCAAATTTTATACACACTTAATAGAAACAGGTGTAGACTCTTAATTTTTATGTTCTTATTCCTTCATTCTATCCCTCTCTTATTTATCTGGTTAACTACCTCATTCATGACTCAGTTTGTCTACATCTTTTCGTACTTCTCTTTCCTTGGTCATTCTGATTCCTTTTCAAGTTAATGTCTTCCCATTTTCTTTCTGGTAAAAACCTCAGCTATTACTCTACATTGTCACATGTAGAGTGCTTTCCTCTCTGTGAGCCCTGCCCAGAGTTTCTGGAGTGGAGATTAACACTATGCCACTCATTCTTTTCTGCATCTTCAGTGCACACTAGCAGGAATTCTAGTAACAAATGCTATTGAATGAATAAATACAAAAAAGACGTCAGAAGCAAACCCATTCACACTTTCCTCTAATAACTAGGTTACTAAGTTTAATTGTAGCAATGACTTAATATGGAACCTATGTTATCAGATGACTGTCTTAAATCTGGAGGGTGTATTGTAGAAATGGAATGGTAAGTCTAACTCTAGTCAATCGGGATGTGGATTATAATTCAAGGGAACTGTGAATCATGCTATATATATTTATGATTATTGAAATTGGCCACCATTAACACTTACACTGCTTTGCTTAAAACATTGGCATGTAGCATTCTATTTAAACTTACAGCATGATGGGGATATATAGTTCAGTGGTAGAAGAGATGAAGTGTTTGTCTAGCATTTGCAATGGCCTAGGGTTAATCCCCTGCATTAAGAAAAAGGAAACCAGCTTTTGCTCATGCCTATCAGCAAACAGTATTTAGGAGGTGGTGTCTGAGTCAGATAATAAGATCCTGTCCCCAGAAAAGCACTCATTAACTTGCTTAATGGGTGTAAACCCAGGGTTTGATGCCAACCCTCACTAAGCAAGTAGAATTAAATAAATTTAAAATCATAACAAACAAGAGAGTTTTCCAGTTGAGAGAACTTGTTCAGAGTTTGTTATTGAGTTAAGTCTTGAAGGTTAACTCTTCAGTATTGTGTGCCATTGTTCATATTTGAAATTCTAGATTCCCCAATTAACAACCTTTTAAGCTTGAGACTGGCATCTTAAATATATGTCTTATGACTTAAGAAGAAATGCAATCTCAGGATAACAGACATCCACTCTTTTTTAGAGGCAAAGGAAGGGAGCACACACTGTTCACTATTCCATTAATATGCTTCTGTCCATTCTCTCCATGTACAGCTGAAGCAATGATTTCTGATCATCAGAGAAGAAACAGTCAACCTTTAACTTTCTGAATTATTAACAACTTAACTACCATTCTCCAGTTTCAATGTTTATGCAAATCAACTTTGATTCCAGGAACTTCAGGATTAGGAAGTTAATTGTTAAACAGAAATTACAAAGTACCTGCTTCAGTGACAACTCCATGTTCAAGATGGCTGTTGGGTGCTGCAAACAGAAGCAAAATGTCAATAAAAACTTTCACATCTTTATGATAATCAGTATGTTGTTTTAGCTTACACCAAGCTTGGCTGTCCAGAATTATCAGTGAGAAGAAAATTTACCTTATTGTTTGCCATTTTCTTTCAATGTGTATTGATTCTACTTTACTAGACTTGACAAAAAGGCTTGATGTATTTTAAAAGAGAAAACCTAGCCAACTGTCTGAGGAAATGATATACGGAAAATGCTTCCTAGTTCTTCAAAAGTTTTCACTTTGTTCTAAATGTGCCTTTCTTAATGCTGGCATATAATTCCCAATACTGCAGACAAGAACATCTCCATATTTATTGCTCCATTCTGATATTACTTGCATCGAACATTCAAAATGCATCAAAGTAGCAGAATTTGAAAAGTTATAGTTCTATTTGTTGATGGTAATATTCTTTATGTGATTCCTCAAAATATCAGCATGTGCAATTTCATGATTTGGGTCAGATTTTCCTTCTAGTAAGACCAAAAGTATGAGTAGAAAGCAAGCCAACGAACAAACAAACAAAAAAGGAAAGGCAACATTTAAAGGTATCTTATATATCTATTATCTATCTCTAACTTATTCATTTATTGCTTTTATGTACTAATTTACAAACTGTAGATGTTAGATACTTAAGATGATCTACAAAAGAAAAAAATGAAGGTAAAAACTTGTTCCAATAAATTTTTGGTTGTTCCTAATTTTAAAAACATGATCATGCTCATTAAATTATATTTGAGTTTTGGTTTGCTTTTGTATGCATTTTACCTCAATAAAGTTGCTAAAGACAGAAAGGAGATAGGTAGAGTTAGGAGAAAATTGAGAGGAGAGGAGAGGCAAGGCGAGGAGAGGAGAGGAGAGGAGAGGAGAGGAGAGGAGAGGAGAGGAGAGGAGAGGAGATGAGATGGGAGGAGAGTTTGGGGGACAAAACCCAATGGTAAATTTTTTGCATGTGAAAAGCCACAGGTTTCATCTGCAGCACTAAAACATAGAGATAAACTAATCAATAGCTAGATGGATGGATAAGAGGAGGAGGAGGAGGAAGTAGAAGAAAGAGAGAGAGAAAGAAAGAAGGAGGGAAGAAAGAGAGAGGGAGAAAGAAAGGAAGAAAGAATGAAAGAAAGAAAGAAAGAAAGAAAGAGAGAGAGAAAGAAAGAAAGAAAGAAAGAAAGAAAGAAAGAAAGAAAGAAAGAGAGAAAGAGTCAACTATGGTTACTAGGATAATAGTTCATCCTTAACTCTAAGATCCATTGGAGAAGATTTGTTATCTTGCATTTGAGTGTGTGTGTGTGTGTGTGTGTGTGAGAGAGAGAGAGAGAGAGAGAGAGAGAGAAAGAGAGAGAGAGAGAGAGAGAGAGAGAGAGGGAGAGAGAGAGAGAAGAAACTCCCTAAGCCTCTGTTCATTCACCCTTATGTTTTGTGTCAAGTTTTCCCTTAGGAACCACCCAGGATTTTGTTTTGGAAGAGGCCAGATAGCAGGTCTTGTTCTAGTTAACTTCTTGACCACTATTATCATCACAATGTAAACAGGATCCTGGAAACCCAGCATGATATTTAACTTTAGCCCTTCACAGTGGAGGGCTCATCTCCTTCCAGGCAATGGATGTTTGCATGGAAACAGTTTTTAATAAACTTTTAAAAACAAAACAAAGACATAAGAGAAGAAATTTTCTAAGAAATATAACATTATTTCTAATGTCTTATTTTTCATGAAATAAGTAGCTACATAGAATGCCTACTACATTAAAATGTATTTAATAAACAAATTCAAAACGAACTCTTCCTCCAGGTCTCCAACCCCCTTTGAGAGGTGAGAGGATTGTGGCATGCATAACTTGTTATAGTTTAATTTTTTTCAGTACAGTAGATCCTATACATGATTCATAAACTTATCTAGTTTCTCAAATCCATTTGGGAAATAATTGCGAAGTTACAATCATAAAGTATGGAGGCATCGGGGTAGTAAGAGATACCAGGCTTTCAGTCCACGTGGCCACTAGACTGACCATATGCTTGGAGAATGCAGTAGGAGAGGCGACCTCAGGGGTTTCTGTCAGTGGTGTTCAGCAGTGGAAGTGAATGCCTTTCCTACTTGCTTATGACCTGCTCTAATGCTTAGGCCATTGCAACAGTGGAAGCTCATTTCGAGCCCTTCTCCAGTGAAAAAAAAACAGAGGAAAGACAAAGTGTGCATGAACAGCGCTGCCAGACCTCAACCTCTGCCTGGAGCCTTGGGTCCCCTCTCACCTTGAACACCTGAAGCTCCTCCAGCACTACCTCTTCCATACTCCACTTCTCCTTGGAAATGCTGACAACTTTGAGGACCGTTCCAATGTCTGCAAAGAGCATGGACACATAAACACCCACTCTTCCTGTTTCCATATTTAGTTGAGTGCATGTACCTTGAAAAATCTTAAAACTTTCCCTTATATTCTCCTCTGGATGCTTTCCTAGAAATCTGCCCAAGTAAAGCAGTGAGAAATGAAGCCTATATATATAAATATGTATATATATATTTATAACTATTTATATGTATATATTACCAATTTAAATATTGGTTGAAATACCAAAAGTGAAACAAATTTTGGATTTTATTTTTTAGATGTCAAACTATGCCAAAATAAAATTTATAATAACATATACATTTTCACTTCAATAAGATTTACTTAGAAATTGTATCTAATTTACTATAAACACATACAAAGTGAGATTATAGTCTTCCAAAATGTTACTAAAATAGGCCAGGAAACAAATGTATCTTTCCATGGTGAAACTAATCAGTCCTTCAGCTATCATGTGTTTTCAGAATAATTGTTAATGGTTTAAAAATTACAGTTTATTCTAGTTATTTCAGCCCAAGCTTAAAAGAAACTGAGTTTAATGATACATAACAAAATTATGCTTAGAGAAGGTAGCTTAAATAATCATATAATGAGTGCCCTGTGGTTGTGTAGCATACTAGTATAGAAAGATAATTAAAAGTTCATTACAAAAAAAAAACAAAAAGAAACAAAAATAGAGTTGCCACGTTCAAATTACTCTATTAAAAACATGTCTTTAAAATTCTGAGCAGTGGGGATTGAGAATAGGGACATATAGTAATATCACTATGTTTAGAAAATTGCCTAGATTGCTTAATTTTTAAAACATGACTCTGTATTATTCAAAACTGCTAAATACATTTTTGCAATACAACATTTACTTTTTGAAGCCACCATGTTTTTCTTAGGAAAGGTTATGTAGTACCATCTAGTGGCTGAGGCCTTTTTGTGGCAGTGAACTGCTAAGGACCTATGAACCAGCTTTGGATGGCCAGAGCAAATTAAATTTAGCTCTTGAGAATTAATAACATACTAATTAAAGCTCTAACCCTTAAATAGTCATCTCTGCAGTCTCGGAAATGGAGCATCCCTTAGATTATCTGGGGTTTGCACTTGCCATCTGTAACATAATCAGGCTCGACAGCTGGCGCCCAAAGGCCCTAGCTCTGACAGGATCTTTCCTAATAAGCTTAATTCTGCAAAACCATTGAGTATTCAAAACAAAGTAATTCTAAAGTTGTCTCACATTCTTAAGAAACTGTTCCAATAAAACATCTAGCATTTAAACTCATTAATTTCTACCACAGAAATTTTCAGCTTATTAGGTTGTATGTGTAATACAGGATGGAGTTCTGAGAGTGCATGCTGTCTTTACTGCCACTAGAAAAATGTTATTACATAATGTTTTTCTTAATTTTGGCAATCACAAAATAAGCAACAATTCATTATGTAAAATGTGTGCATGTATGTATAAATGCACATGTAAATGTTTACACCTATTTCTGGTCATCATTTAATTGCACAGGCTAAACAATTTCAGGAAACAGGCAAGGTATTATTAACTGATATTTGCTTGAATTTGGCTGACAAATATTTTGGAAATTTTTGCTTTTTTTTATCCCATTACTGACCACTTCAGTTTCTTTGAATGAAAGTGTGGTTTGAGGGTACCTGTTCCGAGAAACATAACATCATACTGTCCGTCTTCAGCGACTACGTGATCCACCACTATCTGCGTCAGTCTGTAGTCCACATTGATTCTCTTGAAGGTTGGTGCTCCTGCCACTGGGTACACTGACTTATACATCACCGGGTGCCGCCTTATGAAACTGATGACATCATCAGGAAAGTCTCGGGTGGATTTAATCAGCGGATCATAGGTTCTGCTTGGACACTGAAAAGGAATGCGTATAAGAATAAACGTACTGCACACACTCCTCAGAGGTGCGTGCCATGGGCAACGGTAAACAGATGACAGAGTAGCGGGGAATCACACCAGTGTGCAATAAACGCAGTCTACCTCCAGTAGTGTGAAATCAGGCTTTATTCACAAAAACATGCAAAATTATGTGACATTAAATGAATTTTCTAAAATTTACCCAGTGTAATCTTCCTTTCTTAAAAAAGATTATTTTTTTGAATAAAGATGAACTTTTCTAATCAGGAGTGATGGTACACATCTCTAGGCCCGGTACAGGGTAAGCACAGGAGCATCCAGGCTCAGGGGCAGCCAAGACTAATACAGATTTCGAGGCCAACCTATGTTATAGAAAGAAACCAAATCTCATTACCTCACAATAAGTTTCTAATGATGGTACTAGAAACTTACATTGAAGAAACTGGTATGAAAATGATCTGTAAACACAAGAATGTGTGTGAAAACTTTATTATTAATTTTAAATAAATTTAGGATTCCCTTCCAATTTAGCTACATTTATTAAAAATTAGAAGGAACAAATCAACAAGTTGCAAAATTAACTATAGCTGGTGTGAAACTTAGAATTTGCCCTTCCCTGCACAGTTCCACTAATCCAGGCCACTTCCCAGAGCTGCCTAAAACAGTTTCCTGGGGAGCACATATTAAAGAAAGAGTTAGCATCAACTGCCCTCTGGTGGTCACACTTAATTTATATCAAGCCCAACTTGATACAAATTCACTGAATTTGATGTTCAGTTATCCAAAGAAGGAATGGCATTTCAATTTGAATGTCTTACAAGGCATCTAATATTTCATATCATAAATTTAATTTATGTTTCAAAAGCTGCATCCTAACCTTTAGTAGAAGGCTAAGATCATCACATTTCAAATCTTAATGGAGAAGTATTGTTTTTAGAATAAAAACTATTTTAATCAACATAAGTATATAGAATAGAGTGAATGCCATCAGATAAAGCCTGTATTAAAAGTATGTTGGCATTATCAAAATAAAATAAAAACTAAAACTAAACAAAAATCCTAAATTTTTCTGAAAAAGTTGACACTGATGAAATTCATTTATATTAGGAACTAATTAGATTCATGCCCGTATTTCAAAAGTGTCCTTCTCAGAGGTTAAGAGGGACATTAGCTGAAGATTCTGGAGTAACTGAAAGCTCTAAATTTCATACCCATAAAATCGTAATGACTCACTATGAAGCAGAGTGTCTACCAAAGAAGTTGTATTCAGTTTTTAAAAGACCTGTTAGTGAGTATCTTTTACTAAAGTCTTCCAGGTTTTCCATTAAGAAACATATCCTTTCCGGGTGTCTAGATACTTGTCTCAGGTCTGTCTGACAGATCAATGTCCTGCACCATTAGCCATTTGCCTGCCACTGGAAGTTGGTCTGCAGACCGAAGTCTCTGCGTCTCCTCAATGCTTTCTACATTTCCCCTTTATACAAGGAGAATCTGTAAACTTGATAGTGGGAGGAGCCCTATATTAAGTAGATTGAATCAGATTTGAAATGGATATAGACATAGATAATATTGAGCTCTTTGCCAATTATAGATGAACATTTGAGTCTTACTCAATGGCCATTTCTGAAGGGACACACATCTCATAACACCTTCAGTACAATTTGTAATTAAAAGCAAGATTTTGGCTACATCACATGATGGAAAGAACGCTTCAACTTAAGGGGAAAAAATCTCCTTAGACTTTATATCAGTAGTTATACACTAGTCAGAATTTCAAAGGACATAATTCATGATATTCAAGCCACAATGTTTGGTATCAGATTTTAAAATATTCTCTAAGACACTGCAACTTATTGAAGATCTTATCGTTTAGCAATCATTGGTTGGCACTGTTCCTTCCAGCCTGCCTCTCATAGGTTCCCAAAGATTCTCATGTAATAAAATCTAAAGGATAAAAAGAGAGAAGGGTAAACCTGGTTTCTATTGACAGTTACAGAAAGATTTTTGGAAATACATTTTTTTCTTAGGGAAGATTCCCCTGTGGCATGCTGCCAGTGTTCGGCTGAGACACTTGGCCCCTGGTTGCTAAGAGTGATCTCAGGTCCTCAGCTCTGTGCCAGCTCAGGGAAAGTGGTTTCAGAGTGTAATTACTCCCTGAGGTTTAAGGCAGGACAGGATGAACTGAATAGTGTTGTTTTAGTACATTCAATCCAGGGACATTCACTTTGGTAAGACTCAAGTGAAGATGCCCAGAAGCTATGTAGGTAAAGCAGGAAAGAAAGCCCCATAAAGGGAAAACAAACAAAACATGTAAAGAAATACCACATTTAAGGAAAGCCATATTTGGTCATTAATTTGCTTTCAAAGACCCCCACTGAAGTTGTATATCTAGGTGTTACTGTGGGGTATGCATATATTCTTTTAAGTTTGTAACTATTGTCATAATTCATCTAACTATCTGACCGCACACAGCATATTTTATTTCTTCCTGTGTTTTCCTAGCATTTTTTTTCACCACCTATGAAAATCAGGGATCCAGATTGGTTAACTATATTCCCCTTGCTCTACGAAAAAAATTCTTCTGACAGTTTAAACTGTGAGAGAAGAAAAAGATAGAGCAGAAAGCATGTAGTCAGACTTCACAATGCCATCCTATTGCTGGATACATCACAAAAGTTGAAGAGAGAAGAGAGCCAGCCCAGAAACACCCTCGGGCGTACAGCAACCAGCCCTGCTGGCCAGGCAATGTCAGGCTGCTGCACTTGGGTAGGTGTGGCTCTGTAATACTTGGCAGGTTTATTCAGGGCCTTCAGGAGGGCAGTGTAAAGCAATGGATAGGACCAGAAGGAAAAAAATTATTTTAATTCGGTGAGAGAACGTTGTTGTGGCAAGGCACCAGACAGCTGGGAAAAGTTTCTCCACTCAGTGCTGCTGACTGCTTTCTGCAGGTCCTGTCTAACAAATCAGAGCAGTGACTAATGCATCAGAAGTCATAACTCAAGAAAGACCAAACTGTGCTTTCCACTGGGCAAAGGGGGGAAACAAGCACAACGCTTTACGTGTGATAGGTAGATAGAAGTCGGATTTTTATTATCATTTGAAAATGGAAATTTCGTAAGTGGAATTTTGTTCCCCTGGTTATTCCTCCAAGCATCAGTCTGAAATAGATGGGAAAAGAAAGAGCCTGTTCTAGATATTAGAGAGGAGGAAGGGAGATTTGCCTAAATATAAAGCCCTTAGGCTAAATAAACCATACAAAAATTAAACCAATGAATTTGAACATTTTGAGCCCTGATCCTCTGTCTTCAGATGCCCTTTCCCTTACAGAAACCCCCCCTAACAACAACAAATCAAGATACTATTGAATACAGTGAGCAGTTTAGCAGAAGGTGCTCCTTTTAAACAGCTGAAAACCAGTGAGAAAGGTGAATGTATATTTAAAATAAGTTGCCTCTCATTGTTTTTGGAGAAGCAGGTAGATCAACTAAGTCCAGTGAGGTCATGATGTCTGTTGTGTCACTCCCCGGAACCTTTAGGTTTAGGGAGTTATGTTTCCTGAGATACAGCTCTACAGAAAACTTTCAAACTAAGAAATTCACAGAATTTAGCTGGGCATTGTTGGTGCACACCTTTAATCCCAGCACTCGGGAGGCAGAGGCAGGCTGATGTCTGTGAGTTCGAGGCCAGCCTGGTCTACAGAGTGAATGCCAGGACAACCTCCAAAACAATAAAGAGAAACCCTGTCTTGAAAAACAAATTTAAAAAAAGAAGGAAAGAAAAAAGAAACTCACAGAGTTCTTACAGTATGTGCATCAGTTATAATTGAAGAGTATTCATCTGGAAAAATAAGATTATAAAAATGAATTATATTAACTGATTCCATTTAGTCTTTATCAATAAAATAGAGAATTAGAATAAGCATTTATTTTGATGATTAAAATGAATTGGGATTGACATGTGAAGCATTCATGTTTCTAATTTAAATAAAAATATATATTGAGGAAAAATGAATAAGAATAAGTTGAGAGTAAAAGAAGTCAAATTAATTAAAAGCAAATTACCATTTTTACAAAATTTGCAAACCTGAACAAAATAGTTTAAGGGTAGTGGATCGTATCTACCTTGTAAAAGCCAATGTTCTTTTCAGCTATGGACAGAAGAAAGGTTTAAAACTGAAGTCTACTTCTGAGTAAACAATGGGCAGCACTTGACATTAATGTGCAATTACAAAAATGCCTTATCAGGACTGGGAGGATAGTTCGGTCAATAATGTGCTAGCCACACAAGCATGGGGGCCTGAGATCCAACCCTGAGTAGTTACATGATAAATCAGGTTTGTTTGAACACACCTGTTACCCAGCACTGCAGATACAGAGACAGATGGAGGCCTGGGGCTTGCTGGCAAGATATAGATGTCTGGCCAAATTGGTGAACTCAACATTCACCAAGAAACTCTGTCTCCAAAATAATAATATATGGAGAATGATAGAAAAGGACACCCAACATCAACTTCCGGCTTCCAGATGCATATGCACACATGTGTACACACAACACATACAAATAGAAACAGAAAACACACATATTCCATGCCAGTACAGAATAAAACTGTAAAAATAAACTTATTTATGTACTAAAACTCTACTAAATTATTCCTGATAAATCACATCTTAAAATTGAAATTGCCCTTTGCAAATCTTCCTGAGACTGAAGCATTTTTCAGATTATTGTTTTATCCTGGTTCCAGTTGTGCTTCTATGTCTGATTTTTACCATTCTTTATTGTTTTGTTTTGTTTGGATATTTTGTTTCAGTCAGAACCTCACAGAACCAAGCCAAACAGGAAAGTAAAGCTTCTAAATATCTGTCTGAACAAAACCTGGTTTGTTCAGTAGCTGCTCTCTTCAGACACCTGAGGGCAGAAGAATCACTGAGGTAAAATATTTTTGAGTGTGCAGGTTTATTAACTTAGAGCATCATGGACTAGGAATTGAGATTTGGCATTGGTCCACAGAGGAACATCACTTTATCAAAACCAAGAAAATTAAAGAAGATGTGAATGACCCCATGCCTGTAAGCATTTAACTGAGGTCCCTACAGGGATATCAACTCAGTGTCCAATCATAAAAATAGTATGGACACAGAAAATACAAAAGTAAAGACCCGAGCCAATGTATAGAAAACGAATTGTGTAAGCAAATCTTTCACTGAAGTTAGAAATATTTCCCTGTATTCAAATAAATTTATTAAGTATTGAAAGGCTACAGAGCTTCATAATAGTTGTGTAGGAGACAGACCAGAGCAAGGAGAAACAATGCAAGATTCTAGTTGTTTTGCTTATCACTCAGAAGCTACAATATATATGCAGCTCTGCATATAGCTTAAGATAAATCTATCCCTATAGAAGTTATGAGACCATGAACATGCATGAGTGGTAGTTGATATTCCTCATTTGCACAACTGTGCTAATAAATCAATGCTATCATTATATCCTAAATATATATGAATTATGTTGGGTGTGTTAGGACATATCTGTCATCCTAGCACTTGAGAAGGAGGACCAGAAGGGTTAGGAGAGTTAAGAATTCAAGGCCATTTTTGACTACGTAGAAAGTTTGAGGATTCTCTGGGTTACATAATACTCTGTCTCAAAACAATGAAAAGAATGTAATGAGACAACATGTAAGTATATATCAAAATGTCCAAATCATATGGAATATTCAGTTATAGTTTTATATAAAATTTCTGAATTGGAGGAAGAATATAGCTGTATAGTTTTGTACTTTTAATAAGCTGAGACTGGAGACTGTGGCAGAAGATGATATAAAATAAATGTAACTAATTTCCGATACGTGTGCAGATATATACTTATATGGGGAATTCTAGGAGAGAGGTAAATATTATATCAAAGGGCAAAGAAAGAACTGACAATAAAACTCTAACCAGCAGGCCCCTTCATTTTGTTGGTTGGGTAATATGAGATTGGGTAGGCTATTTAATTATTTTGGATACTGGTTTCCCCAAGTGTAATATGAGGGTGAGTTATGATGTCTCTATCACTCATTCTAACTCTTACATTCTCAAATTTTACAAGGGTAGTCACTTGATAGTCTGTGAAACTTAATTTCACTGATTTTTATGAATGTGGTTACTTAAAGTGGTAAGATTCATTTGGTAAAAACACTTGTGTAATAGATTTCTAACTCAATGTCAGCATTACAATTAAAATTAATTCATTTTAAATAAATCACAAATTTTTGCAACGTAGAAACAGAATGATCATTATAAAAATAAAATAATAATCATTGAAAAATAACTGATAAAAAAAAGAAATAGAAAACCTATGCATTTTTTAGCCATTTCAAAATTTTGTTACAGCTATTTTGAATATATTGCAGTAGAGACCAGTATATTTGACATATTTTGTCTCTTCTCTTATCACTCAAGAAAAACACTAACATATGCCTTTTCTGGTTTTGTGAGAGATACCAATTGCCATTTCTGAGAAATGACTATGAGTTTAGACATGCGATATTTAATAACTATTCTGTAATACTTCTATAATATTTGCAGCTTTTTCAGGCAGTAGCTGAGAAGATGGTGAGAGCAAACATTACTGCAGTTTCTTTCACTCATGTTATAGGTACAAAGCAATGTTGGTATGGAATAATTTCCATAATTGTTTTCAATTAACGAGTATGACAAGATGCAGTGGTTGTGTCTGTGAGTGAAAATTATTTATTGCAATTAATGTAGATTTTCCCTGTTCCAAATTCTTACACTTATAATACCCAGATAATTGGGGAGGAGGGGCACTGTGATGGCTTGAATTCAAATCAGTATCAAAAAGGCATATGATCATTCCTAGGTTTGTAGCAATCATATTCCAAGTAGCAAATATGAGTAACAACTAAATGTAGTCTTACAGAAGAATAGATAATTAGTTTTCCAGCACAGACACACACACACACACACACACACACACACACACACACACACACACACACACACACTGGAATATGATTACCCATAAAAAGGGAAGAAATTTTACCATATGTCACATGAAAGAGCTTTTTGTATGATGTTGGTTTAACCAATCCACCCACAGAAGTCTACGATTTACTTATACAAAGTTAAATTCGTAGAACCAAAGAAAAATGAGGTGGCTGTCAAAGAGAAAGGAGAGCATTGGAATCAATGGACACATCATTTCAAACAAGATTAATGATCTCTACATGCCTGTAATACAACCTTTAGCTCTCTGCTGCATGGTGGGTTATTCTAAAGTTAAAAATGTAAGAGGTTATATCATGGGTGAGGTGGGGTTTCTCAGTGATCTGGCTGCCTGAGGTCACCCAGGCTCCAGAAAGAAATCTTTCACCCATGTAAGTGACACTGAGAAACTCACTGGTTCTCTAATCTAGATGTAATTGTAATCATTTCTTTGATCTCTTAAGGAGCTCTCTCTGGTGTTTTCACATTTTCCCTCAAAAAGTCACTCTCTTTCCAAATAAAAAAGAAACAGCAACATAATATAAATATAAAAAATCGACAAAAATAACAAACACATCCAAAATAATTAAGGAAATAATTAAGTATAGTGAATGCCTAATGATCAAGGCAGAATATCAGGGAAACAAATTTATATTGAGGAATAATTATAAGAAAATACAAATTATTTCATAATAATATATACAACTTTAGATATACTATACACTATGTAACAGGAAGATAATTAATAAAGCCCAAATGCCAGTTATTTCCTCTTAAGAATAAGCACGAAAAGGCAATATTCAGTAGAATTTGAAGGTTTAAATCAATTTCTTTTGATGATTATTTTAGATGTTATTGTGGAAACATATAGAACTATCCTTAAATAGATATGCAAGATACGAACTTTTTTGACACTAAGTATCTCTCATTCACACAACATATACAGATGTGTTCACTTCGGTTTTTGTGGTTATGCATTCGTGTGCTCATGTACATGTTTACATGTATATCTGTGCACCTGCATATAAAACCTGAAGTCAGTAGAGGTGTCTTCAAGGACTTTATGCCTTATTTTTTTAAGACAGTGTTTCTCATTGACCCTAAAGCCCAGGCATTTCTAGAATGGCTAGCCAGAAAGTACAGGGGATCTTTCTATCTCTGCCTCTCAGCAGTGGGAGTGATTGCAGGCATGTACTGCAGCAGCATCCAGATTTTTTTTCCCTGAGACAGGGTGTCTGTGTGTAGCCCTGGCTGTCCCAAAACTCACTCTGCAGATCAGGTTAGGTTTGAGCTCAGAGATCTGCCTGCTTCTGCCTCCCTAGTGCTGGCATTAAAGACATGTGCCATCACTGCTGAGCACACCCAGCTTTTTGTCTGGTTTCCAGGGATTCAAACACAATCGCTCATGCTTTCACAGTTAAAAGAACCATCTTCCGAGCCAATTTTTCTTTTTAAGCAAATGTATAAATTGTAAAATATATTTTACCTTTCGTCATCCACCTTTATATGATTTACACCATTTGAAAATAAATGTGGACTAAAAAGAATCGTCCTCCCCTACACTTCCTCCTTCTTCCAGTAGCTTCCCTTTCGAACCTGCTTAGGTAATGGCCTCAAATTCAAATCTTAATACATCCTCCAGGCTGCTGTGATTACAATATATGCCATCAAATTGTCTTGTACCCCAGTTATTGTGAATTTCTCCCGCTCTAAGAATTGTATATTATTTCAAAAGTTCAGCATAATAAAAAAGAGACAGATGCATATCAAGAAAGGAGATCAGTTAAATGAATCACTTTAAAACAATAGATCCTTTAAAAGAAGCAGACACTAAGAAATTCTAGAGATGTATGTAAGATATGTGCAGAGATATAGAAACAAAACAATTGCTCAATTGGCATTTTCATCTAATTTACAAAATTTGCATTCTGAACAGCTAAATTGACATATCTGAGCTAAATTTTGTAATGCCATCACAATGCAACCATCACAATACAGGCAGTGTGTTCCTTAGTACTTAAAATTATTCAAATTTTTTTAATTCAATTCATTTGAATATTGGAAATACTGGTATATTGCTATACAAAAATAACAATTACTTCAAAATTGACAGCATATGTGACTTTAAGAAATGGCATAGCTGGTAATAATGGAATAAAGAATTGCATATGGAATTAAGAAAATAATTCAGTTATTTAGTTGGGTACATACCGTTCCAGGTCGGGGATAAGGTATCCTTCCATCATACTGGACCCAACGATGGTCTGCACTTTCCTTGTGAGCATATGGGCCATTAAAAACTGCTCTTATGTCAGCCATGCTGTACACACAGACAGCGGAGCCTTTGAAGATGGAGCTGAAAGAAAGGAACGTGGCCCAGTCATTCACCCAGTGAGCACATATCTGCATCCAAGAGTTGTGTGGAAATTCAGTGGCGCATTCCAGTAGACTGGCACTGCCAAAATATATGCCTATGTCTCGAAGGAGTTTATAGGCAAGTCATTCAGACTAACACGTGATGATGATGATGATGACGATGACGATGATGACTGCCTTACAGGTAGGAAATGGAAGCATGCAGCAAAAAGGGATTGAGAGGGATGCCAAGTGGATCATCAGGAATCCTCAGGGAACAGGTGAGCTCCACACTGGCACCTAATAGTTAATAGGAACCATTTATAACTGTGGTTATCGACCTTCCTAATGCTGAATCCAGGTCCTCATGTCGTGGTAACCCCCAATAGCTGTAATTTTCCTACTGTTATGAATAATAATGTAAATATCTGATATGCAGGATATCTTATTTGCAACCTAAAAGCACCCATAATGTACAGGTTGAGAGCCACTGATCCAGAATAAACTGTAGGATAGAAATGATTAAGTATGATGCTTACTCTCATATTGTTTAGTTTTTGAAATCGTTATAATACGAAGAGCTTAAAATATGAAGTTATATTACTTTGTTTAAAATAGTAATCATTTGGATACATGAAAAGCCATACGGGTTAACTATCATTCTAAAATTTCTTCTTTTGTTATTATTGTGTTTTGTATGATACGTAATTCTGAGGAAGGGACAAATTCAATTCTCTTTTCAACCATGTGTTGGGACAGGACTAAGGTTGTCATGCCTATGTACACGAGTGTTTGCTGACAAAACCAACTTCCTGTCCTTTATCCATCTACTAAAACTGAGAGCGCATTCCGAGTTTAGGTACGGAAAACGTTGTTCACATGATTTTGTTAAAACAAGTTTTAAGGCAGAAATAAAATTTAATTTTTTGAAGTGAGCTTATGGATTATAGTCAGCTGCTTAATACCCAATGTGGTCATAATCATGTGGTTTCAGTAGAAATACTAAGCGGCTATGATTTTCAAAGGAATTTTAAAAAATTCACAAGACTAAGATGACAAGTATTAGCACCCTTCAGGTATTTCTTTTCATTTCTTTTTCTTTCTTTTTTTCCTTTATTTCAGAAATGAAAAATGTACTTTCTTGGAAGCCTGTTCTTAAAAGTAATATGAACCTTTCTGACCAAATGATGCCATCCTGGTTTTACACGTATAATGATTCTTTAGCACAAAAAGCTCAATCATGAATATTCTTGGAATGGTGTCAGTGGGAAACATCAGAAGGTAATGGTATACAGGCAGACAGGAGGAAAGTGACATTGTGATAGTAACCACATATCTGCAGATCATATTTTAAAAATAATGCACCATTATTAAAGGCTAATTATCTCTTTTCACTAGACAAAGGATATGATATACATTCCAAAATTACCTCAGTCTTCAGGGCAATATTAAAAATAAAACAACAAAGAGCACTAGGAACAAAGAGCTGATTTGTAACTTCACACTCTGGGTGGGCAGAAACTTGATAGGGGAAGAAAAAAAATGAAAGAAGTGTCTTGGGGCTTTGTGTCCCTGGCACATATCTACATCTGTATGTAGAACACACATCAACTTCAAAGAAAGATTTTGCATGGAAAGGGGCCAAGAATACTAGAACTGAGATACATGAGCCAATGCAATCATTGATCCTCCTCTTGCATTTTTATATAGTCATTGCACATTAATAGGAAAATATGTTCCCAAACAACAGCTCTTAGGGTGTCTTTCTAATGTTCATGTTAAAATTTCCACCTTAAGTCTCACAATTATTCATATACTCTGATGTATTCCAGCTGATTATGTTCTTGCTATGGAACTAAATAAACTGTAAATTGCAGAAATGTATTCAAAGGGAGGTAGCACAGTCATTTCTTTCACTATTGATAACAATATATTCAAGTCCTCAGAAATTAATGTCAAAGCACATTGAGTTAAAGGAAGATATATGAAAAACCGAGACATATTCTAGGCATGCAATGTAAGTGTCTGTGTATATAAAGAGAGTCAAAATGAATAATTGAATGGAATAGGATGAAAACAGGAGGGACCACACATTTATGAAAGGCTTATAGCTGCTGTTACAAACTTATGGAAGTCACAGAACCTCAGTGATATTACAAGGCAGCACTTATGCATTAACCAGACAAGCATATAGGCATACAAATGATGACAGGCTTCAGTCTGGTCTTATTGATAAGAATGGGCCACTGAATTGTAGAGGACACTTTAGTGGACAGGTCAGAGCAGCCACATCTACCTGTGCAGGTGCCAAGGAAGTTGTGATTTGATAGGTTGAGGCAGCAGAGCTCCATCCAGTGATGGATTACAGCTTCATCAATGAACTCAGTACTTCATGTATTTGTTTAGTACCACCTCTAGGGTCACACCTCTGGAAAGTACTAATTATGGACATTATATACATAATTTTTTATACCTAGCAATTATATTCCATGACTTCACTTTAGAGATATGTTTGTTCATTTGTGCAGTGGCACAAGCTCAGGTGAGTCATTGATGTGTCATGTATAAGAGAAAAATCCTGAAAATAACAGGAATGGACTAGGGACTGGGTGAAAGTTATCTGTGGTAATTAGCATAGTGGTTACCATGCTGGTATAAAGAGAATGAAGTGAATAACTTTCTAAGAAACACAATAACCAGCTCAATAAATATGTGTGTTATGGAACTGTGAAGGAAAATTAAAAGGATCATCTAGATTATGATACCCCTAACAGACTCATGTTTTCTAATAACTGTTCCCAAGTTGGTAGTGCTATTTTGGGAGGTTGTACAACATTCGGGAGGCGGGACCTCAACAGAGAACGTGGATCTCTGGGGAGTAGGCCTTGATGAATATAGCCCAACTTTGATTCTGGCCCTAGTCTTGCTTTGTTTCATAATTCTCTCAAGTGTGAGCAAGCTCCTGAAGCATACCATAATGGATTACATCTTTGAAAGTTGAGTCATTTCTCTTAAAAGTTGCTTCTTTTTGGTTGTCTGGTCACAATGATGACAAAAATAACTGCTATACCTATACTAGTGTGGGGATGAAGCTCAGTGGAGAGTATTAGTATGCAAATGTTGGTGAAACAAACAAGTCAACAATTATTTGTCTCATAAGAATGAAAATTTTAAAGAACTGAAAGCATTCTCTTTGGGGCAGGAGAGATGGCTCAGGAGATTAGACTGCATGCTGTTCTTGCAGAGAACCAGAATTTGGTTTCTGGCACCCACTGCAGGCATATCTGCCTGTAAATCCCACTTCAAAATATTAGATGTCCTATTCTGGCCTCTATAGGCATCAACACATATTTGCATATTTGTACACAAAGACACAAACATATAAATATTATATATATATATACATATATAGCAAGACAAAACAAAACTCTTTTTAAAACTTGAATTAAGAAAGTAAAGAATGGACTCTCATCGGACTGGCCAGATATGAGTTTGACATGGCAGCAAAGAGCCTCCTTATCCACCACAGGCAAACCACATACACTCTGGTGGCCTTTCTGGTGTGTCAATTTCACCAGGCTAACATCTCCAATTATGCAAAAACATAGCTAGTGGCTCAGATAAATGTATTTAATAGATATGATCAAAGGACTTGATCACGTGATTTTTAGGGACATTATCCTTGATAATCTGGGCGAATTTGATTGAATAAATTCACAGATCTTCTAAAACCCAGCAAGGATATGCTCAGATTCTGCCACTGAAGCAATTTGGGCCAATCTGAGAATTCAGTTTACCTGCCTTTTGCCAACAGCCAGCCTTTTAGATTTTGGAATTGCCTAGCAAAGCCCCATGATACTGTAACCTAATTCCTTATAATAAATGTCTTCATATGTCTAAAAAAGAACTTAAAAAAGGAATGTTCAACCTACCTGGTTGTGGTGAAGACTCCATATACTACAGGATTTCTTTCATCTCTCGTAGGGAGTAAATAAATGTCTTCTGTTAATGGAAAAATAATTATGTAGCATAATTTTTGTTGGTCAGCGTTGCATTTGCTTTTTAGTAATATATAATAATTCAAGAACTCTAAGCAGCATACAAAATAAAGATGAATCACTACAACATTAAGAACTTAAGGGTAAAAGCTTCTTCAACTACATGACTTAACCTCTTAGTGGTATGCGTCAACCAAGTGTAAATGAGATAAATCAGTTGGCAGTTTGCATGACTATTTTCAATTAAGAATATGTGATTTCATATAAAATGGAAACCACAGACTAAAGGAAGATATGACCCAGCAGTTTAAAAAAATGTGCTGTAATGACTTCAGCCTAGTGTTTCAATATGAAAATGTCTTCATGCGCAGTGACTACAGCACCGACAGTAACGTAGTGTTAGAATGCTTTGCAGGATTATGCAAGACATGGCGTGTTTATTTTCATATGAGTAAAGCATGAAATACTGATTAAGTAATTGGAGGAATTAATCATTTAGCATGCTTGAAAATAAAATTAGTAGATAAAAACTAATGATGTTGACTTGATAAGCAAGTACAGTCTTTCCATAACTAGAACTGAGAGGGATAAAAAAGAAGACATGAAAAGAAATCTGTCTGCAGCATCTCTAAATGTGGTTTGAGTCAGATGACCATGGTAACAAATCTTCCACACTCCCCAGCAGAGGGCATCCTAGGAATAAAGAATCCAGGTTCTTCTACCTGTAGAAGATTGCTCCTACCAAGAAAAAGGGAGGAAGAGGATCACATGGATAGACTTTCAAGTCTCATGGCTCACATCTTCCAATTAGTGCAATTCTGTTTCCTTTATTAAATTTAAGGATCTCTCAAACACAGGAACACTTCACTATGTTGTGCATCCAGATTGAGAGCAAAACATAAGCTTTGTGTGTTCTAATATAAATTTAGAAAGGATAACTTGAGCCTGAGCTTATTTGTGAATGTATATATCTGCACATATGATGGTAAAATAAATGCTGAGTTGCTTATAGGTAGCAAGACTTTTCTAAGAACAAGGGACACGTAACTTACGGAGTTCATCAAAATGAGTATCTGCTCCATCGCTTCCAGGAATTGAGCAAATCAGTCTGGCTTTAAGAAAAGTGGTCCATTTGTTTATCAGACTTCGTTGCCCACCTACATCATTCTAAAATAATGGAAAACAAAAAAGGGTAAAATGTTACCAATAGGAATCTGCAACTTACTAAACCCAGTAGGCATTACAGGTAGTAACTTATAAACACTACCTTTTAGAATGCACAAAGCCTGAGTATTTACTTCAACTACTCAATAATGGAAAAGTTAGTTTGTCACTCAACCATAAATGTTTTCTTATGGTTAAATGAATGCAATGCAAGCAATTTAACTCTCGTGAGTGAGTAGATGCATTCAAGACTGCAGTAATTAAAGCAGGCTGGAATCAAATGCTGTGTCTGCCAAGTTTTTGCTCCATGACCTATAAAATGCTAATATGTCTCTATTTTGTCATTGATAAAATATGATTAATGTCTTGAAATTCAGTTATTTTGATGATCAAATGGAAAGTTTTGTGTAATGTGTTTAGTATAGTGCCAGGCAACTGAGTTCAATAGCTGTTAGAATGACTTATGTATCATTTATGTATTTAAGAACAAAATTTGCATGTTTTAGAAATAGGCTTCATTATAGAGTAAAAAACGGCCTTTCTCAAATTGATGTAGTACTAATTAAACATCAAGGAATCATGAGTATTCACTCACAAACATATGAAAATAATTTTCAATATTAACCTACATTTCCATGCATTAATTCTTCTCAGAAGTTTTTTTTTATTTAAAATTATTTGGAACATTGAACCAAACATAAACATCCATATCAAATAAAAAAATAAACAGAATTATGTCCCTTTATACATTACATTTATAAGATTTTAAAAATGTATTTGAAGCTAGCTTTTTCCTGTGCTTATAATAAATAAAATGAAAATGATTCATGGAATGCATACACTAGGCATTTTGTTTCAATAAAAAGTATTCTTGAATACATTTTCCATCAATCTAATTATTTTTAAATATGTTACCTAAATCTTTTGTCTTTTCTCATCCCAAATTCTAGAAAGTTAATGAAAAGTTAATTGACAAGTTGGACATTTGAATATCTAGTACCTACCTTCTCTGCCTAATATTTGTAATCTAAACTAAATTGGAGGAGAATGTCTGAATGACTACTCTAAGCAGGAAAATTGAACATATTGTATATAAACAAGTACACACATATACATATATTCTTCAGAAAAGGAATGATACACAGAAGGAAGACCAGGTAGCCTCCTATCTTCAGGAAACTTAAGATAAAGCACAGAGTGACACTACATGCAACACTCATTGTGACTCATCTTTTACATTCCTTCCTGTTGAACAGGGTTAGCTCTCATTTTTTAATTTCATTTACTTTATCAATTACACTTCGATGATTTTCCAGGGATAGCTCTTGATCAGTAAACTGTAGTAATAATTTTTCTTTTCTTGATTTATTTTAGATTTAAAAGAAACAACACTATAAGTTGAAGGACAATTTTAAACTTTAGAGGTATCTTTCTTGAATAAAAAACTTCATGGACAAATCATAATAACATTTCACATACTTTTGTCACACTTGTTTTTTTTTAAATTTTGACACAGGGTCTCATTTTGTTGTCCTGGATGGCCTAGAACTCACTATGCAGACTGTGTTGGCTTGAGGTAGCCAAAATCCACCTTCCTCTGCATTCTGAGAGCTGGGATTAAATGTGTGTATCACTGTCCAGCAGCTGTTTCTTTTCTTACAGCTTAAATGATTCCAAGGTAGTATCAACAATAGGATAGATCTATCAGTTACATATATAACCATATATTCATACGTATATGCTTATACACAATAAAAAGCAATGGAACACTCAGAAAGTGCTTAAAATCGGGAGAAACAGAAGAGGAGGTTTTGGGGTGATTTTTATCTTGGTTTTTTTTTTTGTCATGCAGTTTAGAATTTCTGACTTTTGATGACAATAAGATCTACAACAGCATTTAACTTTTAGATATTCTAAGTTAGAACCAGAAAATCAACTTTTTAGTGCCTTTGCTGATCAGAATATTCTTTACAGCACTGCCAATATGGTACTTAAGAAATAACCATTGTTACAAATAAAATTGGCAAATTCTTTAAAAGGTTTAGAGGGCCAAAGAGATAGAGCCTCTGCTGGAGGTTGTACACACTGAGAAAACCAAATGAGGTGTTTGGGAAGAGGCAGATTGGATTCTATGTCTTTTCACTGGCAGGCAGTGTTGGGGTACATGTAGAGATGAGCTGCAGAAATGCCCCGGGGGCTGGAAATTAGGAGCAAAATGCAATACAAAACACACCCAGAGAACCAAGACAAAGCTTGTTTCGATGAGAACTGGGATCAATTAAACTGGTGAAGGAAAATGTTAGAAAAGTAAATTAGGGGAAGACCAAGGGAGGCTTTCATACAAGGCCAAGGTGCCTGAGTGTTATTAAGCATATAATGAAGTAGTGCTCAAGCATTGTAATTAGAAAAGAAATGAAATAATTATATTTGTCTTTATGAAAACCACATAGCATAATAATGCCACTCAAGTAAAACAAATGTCTATAACTGCTCTTTAGTTATGTTTCATTTTGTTCTGTTTTTCCTTTTTTTTGAGGCAGGGTTTCTCTGTGTAGCTTTGGAGCCTATCCTGGCACTCAATCTGTAGACTAGGGTGACCTTGAACTCACAGAGATCTATGTGCCTCTGCCTCCCAAGTGCTGGTATTAAAGATGTGAACCACCAATGCCCAGCAAAGTAGCACTTATACCAGGAGTGGTGTTCAAATCCACATAGACATACCTCCATTGAATCTTAAGTCCAAATATAACTGCTCTTAAATAGCTATTATGCATATTTATTATTTGAGTATTACTGCTCAAACAGTATTCTATTTGATGATTCTGGTATCTCTGAAGATGTAAAGGCAGACTTAACTATACAGTTTTAAATGTTCATGTCTCAGAAAGTGCCACTCTTTTCTAAATATCCTGGTATATAAAATGTCAACAAGTGTCCATATTGTAACATTGTCATGATTCCATTTTCAATTCTTATCTATAGCAAAAATGAAAAGATTCCAACCCACTAGTCCAAATTTATTCATTAAAAAAGGAATGTTAATTTTTTAATTAGCTAAATAAAAATTGCAGTCTCTTAAAAGGAATAATCTTTGACTGCTCTTGCCTTGTCCAGTTCCTTAGGGAGCTCAACATGTAAACAAAGAGAACAAATCAATTCAAAGTCACCTGCTATCATCAGAGGATCAAGCGCAACTTTAGCACAATGTTCTCAGTAAGCACTAGTTACTGGACAGTAACTGTCAGAGAAACCTGGAGCACTGGGAGGGAAGTTCAGTACACTAGACTTTGTATTTCTTCTGCAAGGAAGTATCAGTCTGACTTTGTTGTCCAGCTGTCAACCCCTGTGTTTGTTTGCAAATCCACAGAATCCCCTCTGAGAGCTTTGAGCCCAGAAGAGAGCTGAAAGGAGGTAATCAGTCTTGTACTAAATTGTCACGTCTTAGCTTATTTTTGTGAAGCTCTCCAGAAGCCAGCAGTCTCACTGACACAAAAGATTTATTATTGAGATGTCAGAATCGGCAGCTCGTGGTCACCAGTCACTTCTGTGTGCCTCCACTCTATTTATCACGGCTCCTTTGTTATTAGGTCCTCTACACAAAGATGCACATGAAAGTAACAAAGAGATGAAGGTAAACATGCCTGAACTCTCTGCCCCTCCAGGGTGGTGAATAAGGAGAGTGCCAGTGTGTAGTCATTTGCTTGGGTTTTTACAACAGATTACGAATTGCTTGCATTTACTAATAAGTGGATCAGTCATGATACAGCCTAATGGACAGAGCATCTTTCCTCTTTGTAAGCAAATTTAAGTTTACATACATATTAAACTGACATGAAAAATAGCTCTAGGCTGTCACACATGAGCTTTTATCGAGTGTTTCTTGTGACCTTTAGGTTACCATCCTGGGTTCATATGCTAAAGATTGTTTTAGTGTACAAAATGTCACTATTAAGGATCTCTCAGCAACATATATTAAGACTTTCATCTATGTTTTGGGAAAAATATCTATGAAAATACATGAATTGATTTTACATTGTGTTGCTAAATTCTGAAAATCAATGAAATTGCCAAGGCTATTGAGAATATATTGAAATTCTGTGTTCAAGGGATGGGGATGTGCTGAGTTAGTAGAATGTTTGCATTCATGTATGAAGTCTGTGTAGTTTTAAAAATAACTGATGTCAACAAACCACACATGTTTTATACAAGCAAGTGGCTAGTTTTCTTCTCTGCCCTTTTTCTTAGTGATTTGTGTATGTATATTTTTTTTGCCATCTAAGTTATCTCACCTGTCAACTATGGGGATAAGGGTTCTTGGTTGTGAAGCTACCTGGAACTTACTTGAGATCGTAAGCATCAGAAAAGCCCCTGGTATCCTTGAAAGCAATGGAGAGTTGGTCCCAATAGATCCGATGTTGGTAAATGGAAGAGGAGTTGTTCTGACAGCCTCCAAAGACACACGTCTCTATAACCCCAGTCTCTCGGGAGAATAAATAATTCCTTTTGTTTTGTGGCATTTCACTCTTCCTATGTCAGTCACTAAGGCTTCAACATTTGTTTCTACAACCTACCTGAGAGGATTGTCAAGTATGTTATACCGTGAAGACTGAGGCAATTCTTAATTAAAATTGTTACTATATCCAAAATTTCCTTTTTATTAATGAGAATAATTTTGATGCTCTTCCAATGAAGCAGTCACAGGAAACCACAGCTACAACTTATTGCAGACGTAGAGTAGGAAGCAGGGAGAGCAGCACTGTTTTCTCATTTATGTGTGGGTTAGAGATTCACTATCATAATTAGATCCTTCAGAGTACAGAAATATTCTCATTAAAGCTCTCTTTGTAGTGCATTGATATGGGTTTTAATTTTTTCAGGGGGAGATCATGAGAGACACAGAATGCATATAAAGATCAGAGGACAATTTGAAGAAATCAGTTCTCCCCTTCAACCCTTGCGTTCTCATGCTTGATGGCAAGTGGCTTCATCAGCAGGGCCATTGA